ACTTACAGTGTAACACACTACACTTACAGGATAACCCGCTACACTTACAGTGTAAACCGCTACACTTACAGAATAACCCGCTACACTTACAGTGTAACACGCTACACTTACATGATAACCCGCCACACTTACAGGATAACCCGTTATACTTACAGGATAACCCGCTACACTTTCAATCACAAACATAGATAAGTTACAAAACATCCTCAACACTTAACACGCTACATTTTCAATCACAAACATAGTCACAAGCTGAAATATGCTACAAACTCACCACTACATTCATAGTCACAATTTGAGATATGTAACAAATTTTAACAATGACCAATTTGAGATACATTCACAGTCACAACTAATTGCACAAATTGAGATATTTTACAAAACACCCTCACACGTACTTCAGATACATTCACAGTCACAAACTTAGTCAAAAGCTGAGAAATGTTACAAAACATGCTCACACATATTTCAGATACACATATTCCAGAACAATTTTAACTTAAATCCAGTTTTCCCTCTTTCTTCTTTCTTGTTTTTTCCTTTTCTAGCTGGCTCATTACTTGTCTCGGAGGCTCAACGGCTTAAACAAGCATTATTAGGAATAATTTTAAGTATATAAACAACTCTCAACATGCAAAGAATAATAAAGAATGTAATAGATAGTTGCAAACTTGAGTTAAAGGCTTTGTTTTTGTTTGCTATAATAGCTAATTCCTACAAAACTTCATGCTCTCTGATTCTCCAAAGCAAAAACCACTAAAGATTCACCATCAAGACAGCCAAAAGAGATTATTCATCCTCATAGTTTCCAACCCGTTCAACAGCCAACCAATCTTCGAAGGATTAGTAAGCTTCGAAGGGCCAAATTCAACATTGTAATTGCCCAAGGGCCTTAAAAGAATAGTAGACAAAATAAAAGTGTAGATGACATCTGATGATTTACAACAATCAACAGGAAAAAAAGGATAGATGACATCTAGCATCCAGGGAAGTGAGCTTGTGATGATTGTTTATATCCTGAAATCAACCGATACACGGGTTAAAAGAATAGTAGACGGAATGTAAAAGTATAACCGTATACATTAAACATATTACAATTATGGAAAATATACCTTCAGATAGAAATAGAGCTACGATACGAGCTCTATGTCTTGCACAATCCTTTTTATCTATTGAAATTGCTTGACCTGATACGAGGCTAAACACATATGACATCAAGAACACCCCGCAATCTAGGCTACTACAAGTACAAAAATAGGAAGTAAAACTATAAAAATTTTCATGGAACCGCACTATATATGTATCGGCAAATACGGCAAAACAATATAGGAATAGGTTGAATACACTCACCCACGTTGTTGAGGTACATCAACACTTTCTACCTCATGAAAAGAGCTAATACCCATATTCCACTCGTCGGGGATGGATGTCATAAGCTTCACTATAAATTCAATGGCATCGGACATATATCCGCGTAGAGAAGAGTAATGATAAAACCTTCTATCTTTTATAGATAACACCAACATATGCCAATGAAATGAAGTTAGAAGTGGGAAAATAATTTTATCAAGTACGAGGAAACGTGTACTAGTTATTGGCTTAAACATGCGTTCGACACTTGACAGATTATTTTCGTTGATGCATCTCTACAAAAAACCAAAGAGAGAATTATTTTTAGTATCGAAAATAATATATGAATAATACTTATAAACTCCAATCGAGAATCCACTTACAGTAACTCATGGGCTGCAGATGTATATGTCCTTTGCATAATTTGGACACATCTCCATCAACATGTTTAGAAACACAACATAGGAGGCTATAACCTGAAATGCACATAATAAAAATTGAAGGTTATATGCTACACGTGCATTGTGTGAAACGTGAGGAAAAAAGGGAACTTACGTCGCAACTAATTGCTTCTCCTTTAAGTAATTCTAATGCATCCTTACGAATTACCAAAGCATCACTTGATGACCACACTAACGTCTCCCTACATATGAAAAAATTTACTAAATGTGTCGATGAAAACACAATAAAAGTCATAAAATAGGTCTTTCGATATTCCTTACATTGTCATCTTTTTGTCCTTCCAAAAGTTATCGAGTAGTTCTCGTTCATCATCCTTTACTTCCTTACTTCCTGAATATTTTGGTACACCTTTTTGATTACAAAGCAGGACAAATGGAGAACGTGTAGATGGTCTAGCGAGCCGCGATCTCGATAGAACCATTTGTTTAATGGAAGGGGTTCTACGCTTGCCTTCAATCACCGCAATATCGCGCGGGCTAAGCAGAAAGACGTCATCATCCACTTCAATTGAATCCATGTCTACATCATCATTAGCACCATCTCCACCATCATCTTTATCTACATTCATTCTATCTACATCTCCATCATCCTCATCCACATCACCACCATCCCCCTCATCTCCTACTCTACCATCACTTTCACCTTCACCTTCGCCTACATCTCTATCATCCTCCTCATTCATGTCATCCTCATCGCCGCCATCACTATCATCTTCATCATCCCCGTCATCCTCATCTCCGCTATCTTATCGACATCCTCTTGCCTTCCACCAAATATTTCCCTCTTCATCTTCAAGAAAAGGTTTAATTCAACTTTTTTTTCATGGATGAGCCGATCCAAATCAGCTTCAGTGATTACCTACATGTAAACAACCCAAGAACAATTGCATTCATGAATCAAACCAACGAAAGCATAGATAATTGACCAACATCGAATAATAAGTTCCATTTTAGCAAAAAGCACATTAAATTACTATTTGAACCCACATAATAATTGGAAAAGTAACATTACATACAAATAAACCATTATACATTTCCCTTGAATTTTGAAGAAGCAGCTTCTTTAGTGGAAGTGGCAGCTTCAGCAATCCTCTTTTAAAATTTTAGAGACCTCGAGCCCTTATGATATTGGCTAAAATTATCCGGGTCTCTAACTAAATTCTGCAACGCATTCCTCCGTAAAGGTTTTGGACACTTGTAGAAGCTTAGGATGGGTGGTAGGGATTCAGCTCCTACACGAAGGCTTAACTTTCCCACAAGCTCATAAAACCATATCTGTGAAAAGATGATAATTTTAGTACAACATTAAATATGACTAAATAAACTAAATATATAAAATGAAAAATGGCATAAATATAGAAAAGGTTAACTTACAACCAAAACTGATGCAAAGCCCCCCATATAAGCACCTCTACATCGATTTACCTCAGTCCTTAACACATGAAACACTGCTTCAGCCCAATTGTACTCATTAAGAGTGTCCAATTTCTAAGCATATCTAAGTGCAAACAAAGGGCAACTCATATTAGCTTGAGGGCATAATATAAAGCCTATGATGAAAACCACGAGCATCTGTGGCACAAGAGGATCTCTACGCTCGGTCATCTCCTAAATAAGTTCACCCATCCTACCCCTTCTAGCACACACAATCTTCTTCTTTCCCTCGTTACTTTTCTTCTTTCCTCTCCTAGTCCTACACTTCCTATCCTCCACAATTTCTGCCTTCGACCTAAATGATAGCACAAGCTTGTAGATTGTCTCGCGATCGCTTCTATGGAACCTTGTATCTACAATAGATCCTCCCATCGGAAGACCCGTAATTCTCGCAATATCTTGAACACTAAAAGAGGTCCATTTTCCTCCAATTTTGAAGCTATTTTTTTCAACATCAAAGACTTCCAGCAAGCAATCCATTAGAACAGGTCGAATTGGAATATTATGAACATCCAAATACCCATCGAAAGGTGTATCTCGAAGGGATGTCCGATGATCCTCCAACAATGTAGAAGAAATACGATTTTGGAGGAGGTTCCGGAAGTAGCCAACATTTGATGGAATTCTAACCACATCCATGGTGTGTGCTTTTTTGCAACCAAAAAAAATTAAGCCAACGTTAGTATCATATCAATATTATACTTTTTTTGAAAATGGGGAAGAACAGGAAAGAGAGTGAGAGAGAAAACTGGTTAAGTGGGGAGAGAGAGAAGGGCGTTTTGGGGTTTTAACCGTGTGGTGTTTTGGGGTTTTAACCGTGTGGGTGTACAAATACATATGTTTTTCCTATTGTATTTTGTAAGTTGGGTTTAAAAACAAATACAAAAAGATAATTGGGCTTATGGATACAACAAATACGTTGTAGTTGTGATGTTTCCTCCCTCGTTGGGGGCTATGGTTTCGTTGGGGGCTATGGTTTCATTGGGTTTTTTCAGCCTCTCTCTCTCTCTCTCTCTCTCTCTCTCTCTCCCTCTCTGTCCCCCCAAAAAGCCCCGACTCCTCCTCCTCCCTCTCTCTCGTCGGCGCCCCTGAGAGAACCAAATCAACAGTCGGACCCCGAGATCCCTCCCTCCCTTCCTCCTCTGCCAACGTCACCCCCCCAAATCCGAGCCCCAAAACCCCCAACTCCGATCAACAGCGAAACCCCCAAATCCGAGCCCCAAAATCGGAGCTCCCCCAAAATCGACGCCGACTACGCTGTTGATTTCAAATCCTCGACAAAACCCCCAAATCCGAGGAGTACCCAACTCCGCCGCCGACTGCTAGTCTCCCTCGACTACCCCAACTACGCTGCGGAAAACCTAATTTCTCCCCCCTCTCTTGACCAACTCCGCGACTCACCCCCTCCAGCTCTCGATCAACGAAGGTGCGTTCATCAACCAACTCCTCGATGAAACCCTAATTTCTTATTTTCAGTTTACAAAATTTTCAGTTTACAAAATTTTCAGTTCATCAACCAACAATTATCTGAATCATGTTTAACAGTGAATTAGTATTTCATATAATGTGTGATCACAGTGCTTGTGAAATTTTCTGGGTTTGGAATGTTGAAGGCTGACTAGAATAATTTAACTGAAGCTTAAAATTATTCTGATTTTTAGATTTTCAAAAACAAGCAGTTGTTGTTTGGTTCGAATTATTGAAATTTGATATACAGTGCATTTTTTATAGGTCAATTAAACTTTTTTATGAGAAATGGAAAACTTGGACACTGAAGCACATGAATTAAACTTGGATGACGATAGTTCGATCTATACTCCTCAAGTATCAGATGAGTTGAGGCCAAAAAAAGGACAAGAATTTAACACAATAGATGATGTTGTAACATTCTACAATGCTTATGCTAAAGCAGCTGGGTTTAGTGTAAGGGCTTGGACTACTCAGAAAGAGCCGGGAAGTGGTGAAATAAGAAAGAAGGAGTATGTTTGTTTTAAACAAGGAAAATCTCCAAGAATCGCGGATGTTGGAAATAAAAGACGTCGAGGAAGCGTAGCTGAAGATTGTCATGCCAAAATTGTAGTTTTAAAATCGATCTTCGGAAAATAAATTTTTACTATTTTTAAAGAGGAGCACAGCCATCCGCTATCAACCCCATCAAAGGTTCATCTTTTAAGGTCCCACCGTAACGTTTCAGCCGCAACAAAGTCTTTAACTAAACAGTTATCAATGGTGAATATACCTCAGCATCAACAATTCAGTTTTCTTGGAGTACAATCTGGAGGTATAGAAAATATTGGGTGCACTCAAAGAGATTTGTATAATCATGAAAGGGATATACGGGCTGATTTGAAGGGGCATAATGGTCAAATGTTTTATGAGTATTTAAAACTGGAACAAGGAAAGAATCCCGTATTTACTTTTCATATTGAGGCTGATGAGGAACAAAAGATTACTCGTTGTTTTTGGTCCGATGCAAGTTCAAGGCGGGCCTACAATTTCTTTGGTGATGTTGTAATCTTTGATACTACTTATAACACTAATCGTTATGGCCTGATATTTGCACCAATAATGGGGGTTAACAATCATGGTCAAACAGTTATTTTTGCTTGTGGATTTTTGAATCATGAGAGTGTTGATGATTTTGTATGGTTATTTAATAAATTTTTGGAAAGTATGCCTCGTGGTGCCCCGAAGATGATTATTATTGATCAAGACCCAGCTATGACAAAGGCATTCCCTCATGTTCTTCCAAATACTTTTCACAGGTATTATAGTTTGTATAGATTATTAAAAATATTTATATACATAGCCTTTCTTTTTAACACTTTATTTAATTCTTTTGACATGTATTGTAGTTGGCATATATTAATGAAGTAATCTGAGAAAATTGATGCTGTGAAGTATAGTATTTATAAAAGTGAGTTCTCGGCTTGCATTTGGAAATCAGAGACTCCTGAAGAATTTGATTTACAATGGGAAAGTCTGATTAAGAAAAGTGGGTTAGAAGGAAACAAGTGGTTGCAAGACCAATTTGAACTTCGGTCAAGATGGATTCCTGCATATGTTAATCATATTTTCTCAGCAGACATGTCAAGTAGCCAACGAGCAGAAAGTGGACATGCATTCTTCAAGAAATTTGTTTCGAAGAATAATTCATTGGTGGATTTTATGATACAGTTTGGCAGGGGACTAGTGCGCCAACGTCACGAGGAGTTAATGGCCGATCACAAAGACGTGATTGAGAAACCTAAACTTAGAATAAATCATGACTTTTTGGAGAAAATGGTTGATATTTACACTAATGAGATGTATTACAAGTTTGAGGCTGAAGTGTGTGACAGTTTTAACTACAAGTTGCAGTTTGTTAGGGAAACCGACAATCGTCGTGTGTATCAAATTCAAAGAAAGAAGCTTGCAACAAGCAAAGTCCGCGAAATCGTTTACGACAAGCAGTTGGATTTGGTTTCTTGTAGTTGTAAAAAGTTTGAAAGCGCCGGAATCGTATGTACTCACATTATCTCTTATTTGATGAAATTTGATGCTGAAATATTGCCCGATAAATACATCTTATTGAGGTGGACTAAGTCTGCAAAATCGGGGACAGTTCATGATGATAATGGCATGCAGATAACCCTTGATAATCATTATCTTTTAACGCGGAGTCAATTTATCCAATCATCTTTGGATTTAGTTGACAAGTCCCTTGAGCAAATCGACCAATTTCTTAGTAGCCACATGGTTAGTGGCCGCACGGTTGCAAAGAGCTTCACCGAGAAAAGTAATCAGATGAGTTGTAATTTAATGGATGATGGTACTAGTGTGCAGGATTCTTGTACTTTTCAAAATAGTTTCAATGAACCCGATCAAGTGCGAGCAAAAGGATGCGGCAAAAGGTTGAAGGGAGGAAAAGAGAAAGCAATGGCTAGAGCAAAAAATAAAAAAGATAGACGTTGTCACGGGTGTGGTAAAGTAGGCCAATCACATGATAAGCGAAATTGTCCGGCACTCACAAATTCGTAAGTAATAATTCTTTTATTATTTATGTTGTCTTATTTTTCACATTCTAGTATCCTTCTTGATGTATATATGTATGGATATTTTAATATAATGTAGGTTTTCTACAAGCGGTGATACAAATTTGCAAGAGGGTAATGAGTCATCAAGTGAAGATGTGGATCTTTTTGAAGATTAAGAGGGTAATGGTTCTGTCTTATTTTCATCGTCAAGCCTCTGCCAGATTGTTCCTTAATGTTCTTGCATTGTTGTACTTCTCATCTTTGAATATTGCTGCCCTTTTTAATTTTTTTAAAGTTGGGCTAAGCTAGGGCACATATCTTTCCTTTCTTTCATACAAAGTAGGAGTATCTATATTTCCAAGTGGTGAAGAGTTTGAATGCATGAATAACTAAGATATCTCCATAGGTCTAAAAGTTCTGAAGTGAGGAAACATTATCCAAAATGTTGTAGATTTACCGACTGTTATATGAAATTTTTTGCTGGAAATTCTTGGACTCGTGTGTACCACCTTCTTAGGAGCTTATGCCGCATTGGTATTGATCTTATCAGCCCATTATCGTACCCATTGTAGCTTTCTTATTTGACATCGGATAAGATGCTGATGGTTGGAGGTTTGAGTTGAATAATCTCCAAAGTGCTCATAGCTAAGGCTGGCTAGAAAAAGCTGTGAAAAACAATTATTACCGTCTGAATATACATTTGAACATGACAAAAGCTACTTTCCTAATGGAACCAAGTAGAAACTTGTACATAACATGATTACAGACAATTGTTTATTACCCAGCATCTTGACCTTCAACTTCAAAGAACATATCCCAGGACTTAGCTTTTTAGTATGAAGAATTAAATAAAGATTGAATATTCTTAGCTTTCATGCGATCTTTGTTGCTGGTGAGTCGCAATTTTACCAAGTGATGCAACATGACCTCAATGCCTTGTGACTTGTTATTGCCTATCACTTGGTATATTGGCTTTTCTTTTACTGGAAGGTGGTGATGTAATCTGATGTTTCTCTTGCTAGTTAAAAAATTAAAAGAAAGTCTACCTATTACTTGGATGGTCCGCTTCTGCATATACTGGGTGTCTCTTATTGAGTTGAGGATCTAGTAGTCTTTCCAAGCGGAGAAAAACTACGTAACATAAGACTGCCAGGACTCCTTTGAAAAGCTGTCTATTCGCTGGGTGGTTATTTTTTTTTTTCAAAATCATTTGATTTGATCCTTCATTTTTGGTCAGTATGAAATAGAGTAATTAGATCCAAGGTTTGTGATTTCTGTGGACTTTCTTATGAAGATTATCAATGGTGAGTCCCAAAACATAGTAGTAATTAGATCCAAGTATATGCTTTTGATTTGTGATGTACAAAGGCTTTTACCTCTTTTTTCCCTCGCTTGATTTCAATAACAGATTTGCTATCTTACTTCAATAATACTAATTTTTTAAATAATTACCTAACTTACTTCAAAAGCTTATATGTTTCTCAAACTGATTTCTGTTGTTTGAATCAGGAGCTTGAATCAGGAGCTTGAATCAGGAGCTTATGAATCAGGAGCTTGAATCAGGGGTGTGTTAACTAGGAGCTTGAATCAGGAGTGGTCTGATTATTGTCAACATTTAACTACCTAGTTGTTTATGTTTGATTGCAATGTATTGTAATATGTACTGATTTTTCTGCTGGGACTTGAGTTGTAAACATGCAAGTTTATGGTGTTGCTGAATTTTCTGCTGGGACTTGAGTTGTAAACATGCAAGTTTCTCTTAGTCATTGTTTTGTCTAATATAAGAAGCCCTTTTAGCTCAAGAGTTTATGGTGTTGCTGGTTTTGTTAATATGAATGAATTTCCATTTGTGCTGAGTTGTAAACATGCAAGTTTCTCATAGTCATTATTTATGGATTGGTTTCTTGTTCTCATCCTTCTGCGTCTCTTGGTGTTCAATTTATTCCAACTTGCTAGTACTGATCAGATACAGGAACTGAGATTATCTACATTACAATACAGGCCGACTCTCTTAGTCATTATATGTTTCCAATTTGTCTCTTCGTGTAACCAGGTTCATGAGTAAAGGCATGTGAAAAATCAGTTTATTTAACCAATGCAAGCTCATCAACTCTGTAACATGGTAAATACACAATGCAAGCTCATCAACTCTGTAACATGGTAAATACACAAAACACCACTGCTCCTTTCATCCAATTATGGACCTACGAAAAAAAAAACAAAGCTTAAAATTAACAAAGCTTGTTTCATTCCAACACATCACGGTTATTTCAACACAAAAAGCAAAAATTAACAAACTTGTTTCATTCCAACACATCAAAGCGTGAAGCATTACAAAATACCGATTCCACAACACATAATTTCCTCGCTTACAAAGTCTTGTTTCATTCCAACACATCACATAATTTCTTTCATGGCCAAAGAAAAAGACAACAAAAAAGCTATAACAGTTAACCATTTCCACAACACTTTTTCACGTACAACAACCACGTCACGCGCCTCTGGTGGGGCAATGACGAGTGGTATTTGTTCAACTGATGAAATCTTGCACCAGCCCAAAAACGAGCCGCACTTTTGCCTTTTACACGAGTAGTAAATTCTACCACGGTTATTGTTCTTGTTCGACTTCGTTATCTTCACATCCGCTAATTCACCACACTCGCATTGTTTCAATATGAATCTAATATCAACTTCAACACAGGAGTTACCTTCCACAGTTGATGATGAAGCCATTTCAATCTGCCAATTTTGAACAATTAACAAAATTCTGAGAAAATTCTACCACGGTTAATTTTTGAACAATTAACAATTAACAAAATTTTCAATCTGCCAATTTTGAACAATTAACAACTTCATCACTTAAGCGTTTGGCAACAAATATAGAACAATACGTGTTTGGCAACTAAAAAATTAATTTGAAAATTATACTGATCAAGTTGTAGCAAATGTCTGCATTAAATAATAAAACCCAACACATATTACCTATATAACAAATTAAGAATAGCATAAACCATGACGCCGTTATAATGATCAATCTACCAAATGTCTGCTCAAGCTAGAAATAGCCAATAATTCCTCTAATGCTTCTTACGAACATGAGAATTCCACAAAGCTATTTCCACCCAATTAATACAAGATAATGAAATAAAATAAGAACAAGTCCAAATCCAGAAAATTCTAGTCAGCCTTCAACATTCCAAACCCAGAAAATTTCACAAGCACTGTGATCACACATTATATGAAATACTAATTGACTGTTAAACATGATTCAGATAATTGTTGGTTGATCATTGATGAACTGAAAATTTTGTAAACTGAAAATAAGAAATTAGGGTTTCGTTGAGGAGTTGGTTGATGAACGCACCTTCGTTGATCGAGAGCTGGAGGGGGTGAGTCGCGGAGTTGGTCGAGAGAGGGGGGAGAAATTAGGTTTTCCGCAGCGTAGTTGGGGTAGTCGAGGGAGACCAGCAGTCGGCGGCGGAGTTGGGTACTCCTCGGATTTGGGGGTTTCGTCGAGGATTTGAAATCAACAGCGTAGTCGGCGTCGATTTTGGGGGAGCTCCGATTTTGGGGCTCGGATTTGGGGGTTTCGCTGTTGATTTGAGTTGGGGGTTTTGGGGCTCGGATTTGGGGGGGTGACGTTGGCAGAGGAGGAAGGTAGGGAGTGATCTCAGACTACGCTGTTGATTTGGTTCTCTCAGGAGCGCCGACGAGAGCTACGGAGGAGGAGGAGTCGGGGGTTTTTTGGGAGAGAGAGAGAGAGTATTGCTATCCATTAGCTTTATAACAAACTGAGCATAACTATGCTCGAGAACATGTACCTATATATATATTAGTAAAAGGAGCGGAAAGAAATCCTTGTTCATGGGTGCATCGTCAAACACAGTCTCAAAATAACAAATGACATGTATTAAGTTAATACTATGCTTATTACGCCAGTAAAAGAAATAGAATCCATCCAGTGACTTAGTTCTCTTTTTTAAGAGAACATAAAGAAATCTTTTAAGGGGGTGTTTGTTTCACCAAAAATTTTGGCATTTAGTATGGGCTACAAGTTTTGGGATCAAAAAGTAAGTTTTTTTTTTGTATTTTGGGATTCCATATATGGTGTTTGTTTTGAGAAAATTTTTAAAATATTAAATTCCAAAAGTGCAAAAAGTACCTAAATTTTAGAATTTATCAAATCCTCTCAATTGGAGAGGATTTTGACAAATCCCATAAATATGTGTGATTATCTCTCAATTGAAGAGGATTTGACAAATCCCAATTTTATCTTTTTGTGGGAGGTAACCTCACCAAAATAGCATATTAATCATATTATAAAATTTTAATATTTGGTAATGCTACAATTTGAGCTTGAAATAAACAAAATATTACAAATTGTAGTATTCCAAATCCCAAAATATTAATAAAATAAATAACATTTTAGAAATCCAAATCCACAACAAATCATCTATGGATTTCAAATTACATAGTGAAATCCATATCCTAAAAATTATAGGATTTGAAACAAACACCCCCTAATTATCTTCTTTCCGGCCCTACTTTTCAGATCAGAGCGTATTAAATATAAAAGCAAGCATAAAATGTTCAAAAAGACCGAAAGAATAACTCCCTGAGATGAGGGGAGCCGGAGAAGGATTTTCAAGAGCGTCTGTTAAATCTTTTAAAACGGCAGGTCCGGCTTGAGATAAGCTTTTATGCGGTAACTTTTTCGTATCAGAAGGAAAGTGACGGAAGAAAATCATCAAAAATTCTCACGTGATATTTTTCCAACACCTCCCAATCCAGTGTAAGATCCTGAGATCCCGGTACTCGTATCCTCGTCTTCATCGTCGTCGTACATCGTCGCCGTTGAGCCCTATATCTGAATCTTGACGAATTTCCCTCTCTATCGCGAGACAGCCGCCTACAATTGAAAGAGGCGGCGGCGGCGGCGACTAGAGTTAGGGTTTTCGTTCGCGTTTCAGATCTAACCCAAAAATAGGGGAAATTTTACTTTTTGTTCTTCTATCGTCTGGATATAGACGCCCAAAGTAGGAATTCATGGTACTAAGAAAGGTAAAGGTAAATAAATTAATTGATTGTAGGGTTTTTGGTATTAGGCCCTTCAATCTTCAAAGGTCATAAATTTGTGCCTTAAATCTTGACAATGCATATTAGTCCCTTAAATCTTGGAATTGCATCTTAGTCCCTCCAAGCCTACCGAGTCTTGCGAAATCAACCTTACGTTTGTTTGGTAATGAAAAAACAAAATCATGATCGGGTTGACTACAAGACAAACACTGTTAATTATCACATTACCCACTCTTCTTAATAAAAAGATGTAAAAATCATCTCCTTTAATTTTTCAAAAAATGGAGAAGAAGATGATAGATTCGTTAAATGAGAAATTTTGAGTTACGGTATTTTTATGACAATTAGGGAAGAACTTAAGTGAATTTGATTTTTTTTAAAGAGGGTTTTTGGTTGAAAATATTATGAAATGGATTTAGAAAGTTTACAGAGGAGTAAAGCCCTAATTTTGCTTCTAATATTTAGATTTGACAGAATATTCTACTCAAATAAATTGTAATTAATCATAGGGATGATTTCGCATGACGTCATATGATTTGAGGGACTAACATGGAATTCCAAGATTTGAGAGGCTAATATGAAATTATTAAAGTTTTGAGGGATTAATATGTAAAAAGTCTGTGATTGCAATTATGCGGTTAAAGCCCTTGTCGCAGTACTTTTATTACCAAAAGCACTTTTTCCCTCTCTATATGCTTCATTGCTGAACGTGGCTTTCATCCCATTTCCAAGCTCGAAAGCTAGGAAAATGGATTCCAAAGAAAAATCTCATTTTTGGTGAACATTTCTATAAATTTATGCCCCCTCAAACAAAACAAACAAAAAGAAGAAGAAGAAGAAGAAGAAGACATTCTAAGAAATTATTAAAATGGCAGAACCAGACAAAGCTCTAAATTGAGAGGATGCTTATCTGTTTGGGATTGTTAGGCTAGGACAATTGCCCAATAATCATACATCCTAGACTTTTGATTAAGACTAAAAAAAATTGTTCTAGATATTTAGATAGACTTTTTGAAATTTTTCGATAGAATTCAAAATGGTGGAGTTTCTGACTACATTTATATTCATGGACTACGTGAATTAGGATTGTGACATATTACTTATTGTGTAAATAGTAACTATATGACCAATATAACTACAAATTTAGTTAGTAAATTAGAAGTTTAGTAAATTGTTAAATCAATAAAGTTAATTAGCTATATAATTTAGGGTTTTCGAGATATTGGTGCCTCAAATCTTATGTGTTTTGAAAGAAGTCCTCCAAATCCTGATATATATTTTTAAATAAATCTCTCAAAACCTACAACTTGTCCCAAATTATTCGAATAGCCTTTTCTGTTAGAAACTAACTCGACTAGGAGTGAAAATAGTTATACGGCGAATACCAAATTGTTATTTCTCTCACTGCAGGAGGAACGAAAGACAAGCTTAAATATTAATTGGTTGAACTATGTTAACTAACCATCATCTTCGGTCACAAATTTTTGGGAGAAGTTACTTTCTATAAAGTGAGTACCAATCCAAAGATCTTACCAAGACCGCTTTCTATGATCGGAAACATTGTATTGAATCACACAATCTCTCTACAAGACTTCTTCATAACTTGCTAAAGAAAACTTTGCGCTCCATTAATGGGCTTTAACGTGATGTTGTAGACTTGCTCACGCTTATTACTTGGGGCAAGATATACAACGGAGTAGGTGAGGGCCATTAATGGGTTAAATTAACGGTGTTAGACCAAAGGGCTTATTTGAGGTTAGTTATGGACGTTTTGGCTTGAAAGCTGCCACAATTCTGACAAAAGTCAGAATTGTGACAGGGATTCACCTCTCAAAAGAGAGAAACAAACGGGGCCTTACTAGGGGCAAGATGTACGACAGAGTAGTTGAGGACCATTAATGGGTTAAATTAACGGTGTTTGACCAGAGGGCTTATTTGAGGTTAGTTATGGGCTTTGGGTTTTATAATACGTAATATTTGCTAGACTAATATCTCAAAACCCCTATTTTTATGGGAAAAAATCAATATTGCTATATCGTTCTTTTATACCCTAATAACTTGTTTTTGACAACACTTGTGCAACTTGGAATGTCCAAACTTGATCGATGCTTTCTGTTCTGCAAACGTAAGAATATTTATCCGAATATGCATGTTTGATACCCACATGTTAATTTTAGAATTTCTTATGATGTTTGTCGAATTTAATGTTATGAATTATATTTAATCTATTTTAAAATAAAATAGTGATAAGCTTATAATAGAACTTGGCTGTGGTTAACTATAAATTCCACAAATAATATGGTTTAAAAGGTTCTATAATTAGCACATGAGCATAACACGAGAATATTCGAAAATTTATTCTCATGTTTGACTATGGAAGGTAATAAACCCCAGTTCTAAAAATATTAGCGTACATACGTACCGGTAAAAAGTAGTGTCATATCTTTCTCCCTATATGTTTTTCTAAGGAGAGCTTTTACAGTAATTGTTTGTTAATTTTAAAGAAAACCCCCCGAATTTTGGGGTTTTTGCATATAATTTCCCTTAAGTATTTTAATTCTATAAAACATCTAACAGATTTTGCACGTGATGCCTCTTAAATTCTTTTATTCTAGTAAATCTCCCTTGAAGATGTTTCACTTTAGTCCTCCAAATTAATTAATACTATTAACTCTAACACGTCACGTGCCATGCACATGACCAAGAAAGAGAAGATTTCCCCTAGCCATCACAAGATCAGCCTTATACCCTTTTTATTATTTACATTAAATTTTTAATGGTCGAGGGCATTTTCATCTTTGGAAAATTACATGTTAGACCATACATAATATAAGTGAGTGAAAAATACTCAAAGATTTAGTGGTAATAGAAGTTCTCAGGGGGCTTACAAGCAAAACCTCTGGTACTGATCCTCCACATCATTAATTGCAGAGAAACTTTACAAGTCATCAAGCAAATCTTCTCATTCAGTAGACCCATAAATAATATTAATTAGTTAAATTATATTAAAAATATTTAATTGTGAGGTCCACCGAAATAAACCAATTGTTTTGTTGATTTCCTAGAACCAAAGAAAAAAATAGGAAAAAAATCAAAAATAGGAAAAAAAATCATCAAAAGTTAATTTATATCCTTTTTTAGATTTAAGAAACCAAGCGAAAAAATAAAATAAAATAAAAAAATCGAAACTAGGTTTTCTATGACAGCTTTCCTTATTTATAGCCAACCAAACAGCCCTCGCTCCTTTAGCCATCTTTCTAACTTCCCACTGCCACTTGTCATCTTCTAACAAACTCAAAAGCTGTGAGACCTTTCGGCTATGTTTGGTTTGAGAGAAAGGGAGAGAAAAAGAAAAGAAAGAGAAAGTAAAAAAAAGAAAGCAAAAGAAAAAGAAAGTAAAAAAAAGAAAGCAAAAGAAAAAGAAAAAGAAAAAATATTATTTTTATTGTTTGGTTAGAAAGAATATTGTAAGGAAAGTTAATATTATTTTTATTGTTTGGTTAGAAGAAAATTCATAAGAAATTCATTTTCTCTTGTTTGGTTACCTTTCTGAGAAAAAGTGGAAGAAAATTATCACAACATAATTTTAATTCATACTTTTTGGAATTAGATTTGGATTTTAAATAATTTACAAAAATAGTTTAATTAAATTGTGATTCTATCATATTTTCAAAAAATTTACAAGTTACCGAACATGTTGTACAATCTTAACTCAAGAAAATTTAGTCAAATTTACGATGACTCTAATTTGCGTATAATCTTACATGGTCTTGGACTTGTAAGTTATTCATAACCTTAGGTGAAGAAAGATAATTCTGAATAAGCTCTAGACAATGATGCAGTTCAAGCATAATTATTCAAAATTAGTATCATTCATATCTTGGGAAGTAACAGGTTAATAAACATGTATTTAAAAAAAGGGCAATTTCCTAACACAAAAACTTAAGTGGCCATCAACATCGAGTTTGTAAATATTAACAAGCAAAAGCATAACCACAATTCCACTAATTAAAGAATAACATTTCTCGAGACCGTAGTGAGGATATTGAATGAGAAGATCCTTAAACCTATCAAAGTACTTCAAGAATGGCTCTCCCGGGACAATTTTAAAGTTTTGAATGATGTTTCTAAGCTTTGCCGTTTTATAAATTCAAAAAAAATTCTTGAGAAAAACGGTGAAAAATTCATACCAAGTTGAGATGGAATTTGTGGGTAAGCTATACTGCCATTTTTTTGTCCTTGTTCTTGAGAGCAAATGGAAAAATCTAAGTTTGATCACATCTTCAGTTAATTCTCTTATTTTAATCATAATACACACTTCCTCAAATTCTGAGATAAAAATATAAACATCTTCAGTTTTATTTCCTAGAAATTTTGGAAGCATGTTTATGTAGTGTGGTCGAAGCTCAAAATTAGTTCCATTTGCTTCGGGGAGCCTAATGCAAGAAGGGATTACATTCCTATTGGGATAGCACATATCTTGGAGAACGGGTTGATTAGTCATCTCTTAAATTGGTTCAACACGAATTAAGCGATTAGTATTACCCCTAATCCACACTCGCATACATCAAAACAAATTCCTTTTTTTAAAGATTATAAGAGAAAAGGAAAAAACCTAACTAAAACAAATCAAAACAATCACTTTTGACAATCACCCTAAATTCAATGGTTAAGCCTAACTCAGCTAGACCAGCTCTTAACAAAAAACTTTTTTAGTGAAAAGATCAAAGTTTACTTGGTCAGTTAGCCATGTATGGATACTACTAGAGGGAGATCAAAGATCAATTAAGTACCTCGTTCTTTATGGAGTGCTTTACACAACCCCTAAACCTTGCCTTAGACACCAACGGATTCAAGTAAACTTAAACCGGTTCACTTAAGAATTTCTTGTTTCTTAATGAGCTCGAATCCTTAAGGGCCAACGTCTAATGAGTTTTAAAAAGCTTGAGTTTGTGTAGTGAAGAATTAATGATTTGTGGGCTAAGGAAAGGGTGATAAAATCCCTCATCTTATCTTGATTAGGGGGTGTTGCCCTTAAAAATATTTTCAAGTGTGTGCCAAATCAAGATGCTCAAATTACTTTGGTGAATTCCTACTAATTATATACCATGCAACCCTATGAATTAAAAGCGACTACAAAAGGATGATAAAAAGAATTTTTTTAAAAATAGGGTTAACAATCAAACAAATGTGAGAAGAGAGCTCTTGTTTGAATTTATTATCTTGTTAGTAATTGTTCAAGTGGAGGGTGAATTTTTATTATGGTTGACAAAAATAAAATCTTTTTCTTTTTATTTAAATCCTAATTGTCTTTAATTGTGAAGAGCTAACTAAAATGGTGGAATTGAAAATACTAGAAAGAAGAGTTACCAAAAGCAAATCTTTAATTCCTTGATCTCTAAACCATGATCTTCAAGCTCCAAATGGTTCCTTCACAAGAAAACACACAAGTTAAAGAACCAAATTCATTAAAATCCTACTTAATAGCACCTTCTCCGACAACGGCGTCAAAAACTTGATGGGGGCATAAATGATATCCCAAAAGTTGCAAGTCCACAATCAATCAAGTTATAGTATAAAAAGTTATCAATCCCACGAGAAAGGCGTTTGTAAAAAATTATTAGAATCGGTTCTTATGTTATGTGTGTGACAATTAGGAGTGATGATAAATGTGATTGTGGATAGATATGATGAGTGATTGTGAATATATGCAAATGTCAATAATATGAGATTGAAATGAGAGAAATGAAGAGTGGATGTGATAAAAGAATAAATGCAATCAAAAAGGAAAGAAAGAAAGATGAAGGAAATAAAAATCAAGAAACCAATAAGAGAAAAATCAAGAGTTAAAGAAAAAATCAATAAAACAAAAGATGGAGGATTCAATTAAAAATATGAGGAATTTAGAATTGAATCAACTAGCTAATCTCAATTATAAAATACGAACTATTCTCTTTTCATCACATTTCACTTTAGATTTATTAAGCATAGACTATCAAACAATTTAAGGAAAGTATAACCTATCAAATTATCATCTAAGCAAAATTAAAATTCATGACAAGAACAACAACTAAATAGTAATTTTAGAATTCATAAACATAACATATCAAACCACTCAAGATAAGCATAGATTATCAAATTCTTCTTCTACAAATTAGTTCGCTAATTGATTAATCCTACTCATGATCATTTTAAATGCAAGAGAATAATTCACACAATATAAAAGAATTTAGATTAGTTACATACAATTCTAAAATTCCTACAAGAATTAGTTCACATATTAAAAAATAAAAGCAAGAAATAAAACAAAAATAATAAGAATTAATTACAGAGAAGAGAAAGAAAATTTACACTATGAACAAGAAATAAATCTAACTAAATTACAAAAGAAACAAAAATCTAGATTATGCAAGAAAATAAATCTACTCTACAAATTAAAAATACAAAATAAAATAAAGACAAGAAAATAAATCTACTCTACAAGACATGAATGTAAATCTAAACTAATAAGCAATAAGAAAAGAAATTACTAAAAAAAATAAGATATAAAAGAGAAAATTAACAATAAAATAAAAAAACCTTCAAATTGATCTTCATCTTCATCATCAAACAAAGAGAAAAAAAATTAAAATGGTGAAAATTTTCTTTTATTAATTGTAACAAAAAATTATAAATTTGGAAGGTCTTTTCAATTAAGAGTAACTCTCATCTCCAAATAGAGTTACAAAATTTTTTACACCCTCAACACCTCACTCTCTACCCCTATTTATACTCTACAACAATGAATGAGAGTCCTTGGATCAAACTTGAGCCCCAAGTCACTCAATTTTAACCCTTGAGCTTTTGAGCTTTGACTCTTGGGGTTTTTGTTTGTTTTCTTCATTAATTCCTTGGGCTTTTGTTGAGAGATGAGATCTTGGGTTTTTTTCTTTTACTCTTCATTAACTCCTTGGGCTTTTGTTGAGAAATAAGATCTTGGGCTTTTATTTTTCATTAACCTGCAGTTTAAGATAAAAATAGTTATTAGTGGTATATTTATTCATGTAAAACAGATAATGATGGTATAAAATTGTAATAAAAATGTGATTATCAGTATCATGGTTCTTTTCATAAGACTAATCATCAGAAATGATGGAAGTAGCTTGTAGACGGCCAAAACTATCATTATAAGTGGAAGAACTTTGACAGATTCATAACCACTAAAGCCCCAATTACTTGGTTGATCATCATGCTTTGGAAGAATTTTCATGAAATGTGAATAACATAAACTTTAGTTAGAAAAGCAAGGAACTAATGGTGGATAATTGTACTTGTATACTGACCATCAATCAAAAAAGTACACTCAACTTCTATAGAAAACAAGAAACAATATATTAGATATTGAACATTTTAGCAACATTTCCTAAAATTATAATGCAACAATTGGGTATTTGTCCAGCACTTTTGGAAACCTTGAGAGCACCACAGAATGACTGGAGATTGTGTTCAACATCATCACCATAACAGGGGGATTCATACTGGTTACTACGCTCATTGGAAACATCAAGGCAAACATGAATTTTGTTATGAAAGGCAGGAAGGATTTTATATTAGGCAAAGGAATGTTAGTCAGTTTTTTTGTCATTATACCTTAAACTAATGAACTAGGTGGTAAAAAACAAACATGTAATTAGAGTGTAAATTAAATTACCTTCTAGTACTGATACCAAGATTGTATGATGCCCATTCAAGCTTAATCTCCAACCACCTTTTCCTCCGATGAATTGGTAACCCAATGAAGTTCCTTCCTCGAGCCGCGTCCTCGGTAAGATAGTCGTAGGCTACAAGCTTCGCGTCCTCATTGAGCCCTTCAACTTTTGAAAGCTCCTCAAATATCACTCCTGTGTAAAAACGAGGACCGGTCTTCCAAGTTGTAGAAGCAATTGACTCCATTCCGCTTCTTAGACCATCAAGCTCTTCATCCAAGTTGCTACTGACACTATGCTTTCTTTTATATATCACCTTTAAAGATGTTCCCGTTGCAAAATGGGTTTTGGGATCTTGTTCTTTACCTTTTGAAGGGCCGATGCATTCTACATCATTTTCTTGAACAGCTTCTTGTTGTGCGCAGCGGAAATTTCGGCAGAGTTTCTGGTGCACAATAAGAGAGAAAGATCGATAAGAATTCTTGTTTCTCAAAGGGAACAAGAATCTGAAAGCCTAATATCCCATCAAAGTAGGATATTAGCTCTTCCTCTCGTCAGCTCTAGGACTGCGCGTCGAGGGATCCTAAAAGCTATTACAATGACCACAAACTCAAACAAACCAATTTTACGTGGTTCGGCAAACTGCCTACGTCCACGGGGCAAGAAGGGGGAGATCTACTATTAGAGAGGAGATAATACAACTAGGGTTTACAATCACTCAATCTAAACCCTCACACAAATATCTCTCTCAAAAGCACAAAAGCCTACTTGCACGAAGCCAAAGAAAGCCGCTGATTTCTCTCTCTCTTTGCAACTGCTCTTTGCTTTTAGTACTACACCTTTACCAGCCGTCCTTTGCTCCTGCAGCCGTAAAGTTCCCGTAGCCTTGCTCTCTGTCTGCAGCACCCCTCACCTTTTGAACCACCTCTTCACGAAACCCTAGGTGACCCTTTTATAGCAGCTGGAAGTCGGGTCATGTCAAGGTTCGGGTGGGCTCATGTGGAAACGAAAAACCAAAAAAAAACGAGTTCTTTGATGAGTGGTCCCCACACGCATAGAAATCACATGCTGCTTTGAAACCACCGCCTTAGCCTTCCACATGTCTCTATCAACAATTCTCCACCTCGGCGAAGTTTTTCCAAAACTGAGCCGACACCAACCAAACTAAATGTCTCACTTGTTGTGTCCAGTACACCGTGAAACAATTCACGACAACAGACTCAATCCATAACAAGTCGAGAATCCAAATGAGAATGCAAACACTCTCCAAATGTCAGTATCAACTCACCAAATCGATCTCACCCCCATCAAAATCCAAACCCCGGCTGCATCATAAAGACTGCCTACGTATCCTCTTGCCCAAGGAATCAAGCCGAACGTAGTTCACCCAAATGGCCGCTAACGACCTCAAACCAATAGAAGAGTTCGCAACCCTTCTCCAATATCATCAACTCTGCGGCTGATAGCACCTCCAATGGCCTCAAACACCTCCACCTGAGGTGAGCCAATGGTCATATCCAAACTGCATCTATCAGCTACACTCGAATCAAAACCCAACTCATCATCCGCATTCGAATCCAAATGACTTCCACGCTGTGTCACCTCAGCTAGAATCCCAAACAATGCAGAATGACCTGGAGTAATCTTCACCCAATGTGGAGTAGCATCACTCTCCACCCGCTGTGATACCTCTAAGGTCTGTCCAAAACTCTCCACCTGCTGAGAGTCAATTGGCCTCCTCATCGAAACCTCAACCGAAGTGACACTACCAGACCTAACACTCAATTGAGTTTTACCTCCTATCACAGCAGTTGACAACTCTTTAATAGGATAACGCAAATATGTCGAAGCCTCTGTCCAGAAACTCTTCTGCAAACCATTGCTCGACCACAAACACCGATCCTCCTCCAGTAAGGCACGGTTCTCCAAATTTGTCACCCTATTTAGTTGCCCCAAGATTTCCTTTCCAACGAAGTGTCTCGACCTACCACCAGAATGGAGTACCTTCACCTTTCTGTCTATTACACACTTCTTCAATCTGTTAGAGACTACTAGGACTTTCTCCAATGGGGATTTGGTTGCAACCCAAACACGCCTAGAACAGCCACCAACAAAGGAAACCAAACGCCTATTACCTCCCAATGATGCCCCCTTGGAAGGCCCCCAAACATCCACGTGAACTCCTCCAGAACGACCCTTAGCACGGTGAATAGAGGTGCCACACTTCACCTCGGTCTTCTTGCTCACATCAACATGTTCACTGGACTTCAAACTGCAGGTCTTTGCACCCTCTTTCAATCTATGCGAGGAATCAATACTGGAATGGCCAAGCCCCAAATGCCACAGTCTAGTCGAATCAACAGAAGTCGTCAGCTCTCCACCTGCCACTATACCTCCAGTCCCAAATGTCGCAGTCTAGTCGAATCAACAGAAGTCCCCACCCCCCCCCCTGCCACTATACCTCCAGTCAAGTAATACAGGTTATTTCTCCTGACGCCCTTCATCAAAATACGAGAGTCTCTCGCAATCTCGAGAACCATGTCCTCAACACGAACCTTCAGACCCTCTCCAACCAAAGCTCCAATCGAGATCAAGTTCTTCCTCAAAGAAGGAACATATCTCACATCGTTTAACTCTCTAACAGTCCCGTCAAACATCTTTATGCGAATTCTTCCTATCCCAAGGATCTGGCATGCACGGTTATCAGCCATGTACACCACACCACTATCCACCAGCTTCTCAAAACTGAAGAACCATTCCCTTCTAGGGCACACATGATAGGTCGCACCACTATCCAACATCCATTCAGATTCCTCCGAATAGCTATCTGTAGGACTGATAGAAAGCGAATAAATAGAAGAGTCAGAATTATTACCATCCGATACGATGTTTGCTTCTGATGATGGTTGCTTCCCTTTTCCCTTCTGCTTATTCTTCATCCATTCGTCGAGCTTTGGGCAGTCTTTCTTCCAATGACCAGTCTCCTTGCACCAAGCACACTGATCTTTTCCTACTCTAGACTGTGACTTCCAATTCTTTCGGTTTGGACCCTTCCCTCTTGCGACCAACGCCTCCGCTACCGGCTCAACCGAAGCCTCCTTATCCTTCTTTCGAAGCTGATAATTCACAAGTGCAGCGGTGACCTCACTATACGAAAGTGATGCCTTCCCATTAATCAGAGTAAGAACGAAGGTCTCATATTCCTCGTCGGGCAAGGAACTCAACAACAGCAACGCCTTGTCCTCATCTTCAATCTTGACATCCACATTCGCCAAATCCGCAAGAAGCTTTGTGTAGTGGTTCATGTGATCTCTAATGGAGGTTCCCTTCTTCAACTGGAAACGATAAAGTCTCCTCTTCAAATGCAAGCGATTTTCCACACTCTTGGTCAAATACTTGCTTTCGAGAATCTCCCAAATCTTCTTCGCAGAAGTCTCATTCATCACATCATATTTTAGATCTTGAGTCAAACAAGACCTAATCACACCACACGCCGTTCGATTCATCTTCTTCCAAACCTTCTCTTCAATCTCATCTGGCTTGCCATCTAACTCCAAGGTATCCTCCAAATTCTGCGCGTTCAGCGCATCCAAAACCTCGCATCTCCATAATCCAAAGTTGTTTGTGCCATTAAATTTCTCCACATCTATCTTCATAGAGTGGATATTCAAACTCTGAATAGTCTTCACGCCAGAAGAACCACCCTCGACTCCCGAAGCACCTTCTTTCCCCGACATCTTACGCACCAACGAACGAAGAATAGATCCAAAACTGAAAAGACAGAGTCTTTCACAAAAGATTCCACCTTTATCACCAAACGAAGCCTTAGACGAGCTTCCAAATTGATCTACTCCTCCAACCAAACCCTAGATCTGGAATCTGGGCTCTGATACCACTTGTTGTGCGCAGCGGAAATTTCGGCAGAGTTTCTGGTGCACAATAAGAGAGAAAGATCGATAAGAATTCTTGTTTCTCAAAGGGAACAAGAATCTGAAAGCCTAATATCCCATCAAAGTGGGATATTTGCTCTTCCTCTCGTCAGCTCTAGGACTGCGCGTCGAGGGATCCTAAAAACTATTACAATGGCCACAAACTCAAACAATCAATTTTACGTGGTTCGGCAAACTGCCTACGTCCACGGGGCAAGGAGGGGGAGATCTACTATTAGAGGGAGAGATACAACTAGGGTTTACAATCACTCACAATTTAAACCCTCACACAAACTCTCAAATCCCTCACAAATATCTCTCTACAAAAGAGGTACACAAATCCCTAAAAAAAAGCCTCTGCTTTTCTTAGCCGAAAACAATTCCCCTTGCACTGTAGCCGCAAAAGACACCAAGCCGAAAAAGTTCTCCTTTGCACGCCCTCCTGCACAACTCTCCTTCGCACCTGCAGCCGCAAAGTTCCCGTAGCCTTGCTCTCTGTCTGCAGCACCCCTCACCTTTTGAACCACCTCTTCACGAAACCCTAGGTGACCCTTTTATAGCAGCTGGAAGTCGGGTCATGTCAAGGTTCGGGTGGGCTCATGTGGAAACGAAAAACCAAAAAAAAACGAGTTCTTTGATGAGTGGTCCCCACACGCATAGAAATCACATGCTGCTTTGAAACCACCGCCTTAGCCTTCCACATGTCTCTATCAACACTTCTCTATCATCTTATTGATTTGTGTTGATAGAACTTGATTCATCTCTTTCATTTTCTATGCGAGCACGTCTTTCTTTGATAGTTTCAGAAGCTAAACCAACAGTCCTGTCTTTCCCATAAATGATTTGCAAGTTTTCAAAACACGGTACAGGTTTGTAACGAAATTGTTCTGCTCCAGGATGTGCCTATTAATAGATAAAGAACCATTGGATTAATGATCCAGGTGGAGGTCATTTACATGAGCTAGGATACACAAAAAATGAAATAGGAAGGCTACATATAGGTCTAAGCAACTGAGGAAACACATGACACAAGATCAATCAGGTTAATAATGATTTAAGTCAATATAACTTGAACCTCCTCCAGTTGATGAATTCAAAACCAAAAATCAGAGGTAGATATAAATTACGACTAGATTGAACAACATTTATGTGGCATGTGTGAATACCTGAGGTCTCTATAAACTGACAACCGGTATGTTCAAAGGGATATATTGCAGGGAACACAATTCTAGAATGTCGTATACATCTCAGACTTATCTCAAGGACTTATCCCATTGAAAGCAAATGGATATTCAATTATTCCGAAATTTAAAATAAAAGTCTATAGAGAATAAAAATCGACACAAATAGAACCGAAAAAATCAGCAAAGCATAGGTGTTAGACTGGAAAAGAAGAAAATGGAGTAAATGAAGAAAATGGAGTAAATGAGACGCTTAAGAATTCCAAGGTGAACTAGTATAGTACTTGGCCTAAGCACAGTTTGTTGACATCAATTTTGTCCAGTGTACTGTACATAAATTTGTCTCAAGAATTTGTATTAATTACCAATCTCATGGTAAGAACAGTTAAAATCTTATGGGGAAGGTCTTATAGTGAGTGAAACTCCGATAAATAATGGGAAAAAATTGCATATCAGGACAGAAATATTGCTACAGTGAAAATTCCGACAAATGGTCCAGGCATTTAAAGAAGTGTTTTCTTTTAGTTAGTGAAAGTAAATAACATGATAATAGAAAACAGAAAGAAAAATATGCAAAGCAGGATTTACAATAGAATTTTCTAAATGACCATGACAGAGTGGAGTAGCATGCTTAGCACATTGTGTGCGTGGAGGTCCTGTTGCATGTTGTATCAATTCGTAGATGTTTTCAGAAAGATGAATCATGGTACGATTTTCAACAATATAACAGTAACATGTTTTGGAAAAGAATATAAGCAGAGATCAAGTGTTGTACCAGACATGTCAACTTTTCCATCCAAGAAAGAGCAACTAGTTAGGAAAGCTTGTAAAATCCAGTTTACCTATAATGATAGTTTGAATTCAAATAACACTACAACAAAATACAACATTGCCGACGAAACAAAAACGTCGGCAAATGTTTAAAAAACGGCGGGAAAAATATTTCCTGACGCAAAATACAGCGTCGCTAACGCGTCGCCAAAAGTGCGTCAAGGAAAGTATTTAGCGACGCAAATACACTGCGTCGCCAAAAGTACACTTTTGGCGACACGACATGCGTCGGGAAAAGTACATCTTTTAGCGACGCATATTATTTTGCGTCGGCAAAAGCATGCTGAATTTTTCCATATGCGAAACGGCGTCGGGAAATCTTGCACTTTTGGCGACGTACTTAACGTCGGCAAAGGGCAATGCGTCGGCAAAAATACACTTTTAGCGACGCGGAAAGGAGCGTCGCTAAAAAGCTTATCTTTGGCGACGCATAATTTGCGTCGGCAAAAGTGTAGCTTTTAGCGACGCTGTATTTTGCGTCGCTAAAAGCTACACTTTTAAAGGGCAATGCGTCGGCAAAAATACACTTTTAGCGACGCGGAAAGGAGCGTCGCTAAAAAGCTTATCTTTGGCGACGCATAATTTGCGTCGGCAAAAGTGTAGCTTTTAGCGACGCTGTATTTTGCGTCGCTAAAAGCTACACTTTTGCCGACGCAAATCATGCGTCGCCAAAGATAAGCTTTTTAGCGACGCTCCATTCCGCGTCGCTAAAAGTGTATTTTTGCCGATGCAAGATTGCGTCGCTAAAAGATATTACTTTTACCGATGCTTATCGACACTAATTTGCATCACCAAAAATAATATATTTTCTGTCAAATACAAGCCTACACTGAATCTGAACATCCACAAAAAATTTGATCTCATTCACATCAAACATAAAAGTCTATTTTTCTATTTCCCTTGAAGCGCTAAAGCGTTAATTTACAAACTCCTCTTGCATAAACCAGGTACTAAGTCTCATCAAAAACAGATTACATCAACAAAACTAGAAACAACAATATGCAAATTTGTATCATTAATTACAAACACTTCCTCTGCTACAGTGAATTTTGATATGCACAAAATGGCCATTTTCCAGCAAGAAGACGAAGACTTGCTACATGTGATTTCCGAAACGTAAACCATTTCACAAAGAAAGGCAAACGCAGCTTTTCCGGGTAGCGAGACCACACATGGACATGTACAGCAAAGCCAATAACAGCAACACAGTCTCCGCGGAAGCATTTCCCCGCGTCTAGGGCCAATTAGGAAACAAATCAAAACAACAACATTCCAGAGAAATGTACCTGAATAGAGAATAATTCTACATAACCCAGAGTGTAATGATTCTCCTCACCAAAGCTGAGCAAACATGCTAGCTCTGTGCAACATTAGCTGAATTCCATGATACTGGCACAGATCCCGAGAAGACAAGAAGGAGGCATGCCCTTTTGAATGGAAACTAATAAGACCGACATAGAATATAAAAGCAGGCATAGAACGAGCTTCGTGATTCACGTTGAAAGTAACTTATTTAAAAGAAAATCATTTGAGCATAAAGGCCTGGAAGGTGACAGGTTTAAATATAAAAGATCAAGAAACCTTTCAAGTAAAGCAGCTAATTTATTACTTCAGTATTATGTAAAGAAATATCATGTTTCATGTACGAAGTAAAGGGTACAAAACCTGTGGATGAGAAAGAACGAGTTTCAACAAGTGGCTGCATCAAAGAAGTAACATTAGCACTTGGCCAGTAATAAAAGAGGAACTTGTAAACATTTCTCAGCTGACCTTGAAAGCTAAAGAACTCCCATGTGTGCCAGTAACTGGCGATGATTGTAGAGACCTGCAAACCGAAGTATTTTACTAGACCAGTACTTGAAAGATAGCAACGCGTACTTCTGAAAACTTTAACTTAAAGCTGATATGTACATTTATGATGTCAATCGCAAAAGAAAATGAGAGAGACAAGAAGGGAAAGAATATCTTATGCAGAAAGCAGAAGCCAGCTTAATGCAGCAACTGATGCTTCAACCTTATGTTTAGCCTCGGCTGGCACCACAGAATGCGTGTATACCTATAAATCTTGTCATGGTGAGAATTACCATATGACTTCGTCCCAGCCATCAACATCCTCTTAATGATCCAATCTTCTATACAAAAAGTTTAGGCAAGAGGAGGAACAAGCTGCAGCATATATCGATCGATATTGACTTTTCTTCAAAATGGTAGTCAGTCTGATCTTATTCAACCAAGTCTAAGCATGATTTAAAATTGTGCCCACTTTTTTGCAAACTGATAAATCCAAATGGTAACATTTCATTATGAAAATGAGATTGGGAGTATTCTGCCAATTCTGAATTACGAACATTTCATTATGAAAATGAGATTGGGAGTATTCTGCCAATTCTTAATTACGAATCATTGATCTTGTGGGGAAGAAAAAAAAAAGAAACACTGCTTATTTGTATCAGCACCAAGATAGAGTACGCATCCACAGTTTTTGTTGAGTTGTAAAGCTTTGGCATCTCTAAGCATCCATATTCCCATGGCTACGCCACTTTTAAGTAATAATATCTATGGTACAACCACAAGATTTCTCAAAACTTTTGTATTTTATTATGAATGAAACATTTTAAAATTGATGGCTACTCTATATACTGAATAACTTTATATTACTAGCTTGGTTAAACTTGCAAATTTATGCTCCAAGTCGCAAATCACCAACTGTTCCGTTGCCTATAAAACCCTCCAAGCCGATTCACATATCATGCATGTCAGCGACAAGCCTAAAATGAGTAGGATGAATGTACGATTGATGCAGTCTTAAAAGAACCACTAGGTATGTGCTACTTGTTAACATAACAGAGGAGATAGTTGTTAATAGAACTGAATATAAGAATAGGATTCATGTAGCCGACTGCAAAAAAAAATTGACAAAAGGCTTTATTGTTGTCACTGTTATTGTTATTTGCCGTAGTCGTGATTGCGTGCTACTCTATTTACCTTGCAAATAATAAAGTCTGAATTCAACTCACACTGAAACCAACCCAAACGTTAGCTTTGAACGATTAAGCTATTAATTCCAGTGTTGATGGAGATGTCTGATTCTGAGATACATCAACAAATAATTGAATTGCCATTCTACTATTTATACATTTTGAAAAATAGAACTAAGGAAAAAATACATCAACAAATAATTGAATTGCCATTCTACTATTTATACATTTTGAAAAATAGAACTAAGGAAAAATAGAACTATCAACGTAAGAAAAAAGAGAGAGAATAAGAAAAGGAGGGTGTATGTAAATATCATCAGAACACGTCATGTATTCTTCTTGTCTGCCCATATAAAATACCTTGATATATGTAAAAAATAGCATATCAAGAAGCAACACAATAGACATTTCAAAGGAGATTTAAATCGACAATTGTCACACAATTATTTTATTTTATTTTATTTTATTTGAAGAATTCACTGTCAAAGGAACAGCAGAGACTGATGGATCCACATGAGTAATATATATAAAAGACATAAGCAAACAAATGAAAAGAGAAACAAACCATTTTTCCCAGAGTTAACCACATCATGCAGATTGTCAGCAACCACCACCTTGACAGGTTCATTATTAACCTCAGGAATTGCTTCAGATTTTCTGAACGGTTTCAAGTGGCCCTCCTGGACAAATATATCATGTCAGAAGACCAGAAACAGATTCCTTATATAACAAGTAATAGCACAGAAACATTTATTTGAAGATAGGACTTAAGATACCTGGTAATCATTCAACCAAGTGACAATCTGCTCTGGTTCCACAGTTGGTTTAAAATATTTTGTCCCATCATGTTCTTGTATGAGGACAAGAGGCGCGTCATCTTCTTTAAGGCCGAAATACTGTTTGCACATTAATAAAGCTTATAAGGACAATCTAACTGAATGTTAGGATGTAGGTAAGTCAAAATGAGAACAGGGAGAATACCTGGAAAGCACCTTGACTGGCATCAAGATCACCAATCAGAAAGCTTATGCCTTTTCCTTTGAAGGCCGAGGCAACTTCGTGGTACTTAGACTTCAGGGCATCAAATTGCTCACTGCTGAAGTTCACAAATAGCATAGCCTATGCATCACAAGATGAAAGTAAATAAGAACATGAAAAGGAAGTATCAATTGTTCAGATTGCAATCCAAAATCATTCTATCAAAATGACACTAATTTTTAATTGTTCAGGAGAGAGCTACTATGCAATGGGGTGCAATGATATTCCATGTGACCTACGAGAAATGAGGTTTGGTAGTTCAAGTTATCAGGTCTCAAGTACAGGAGGACTCATATGAAATGATATAAACCTGTAGTTGCATTTAGTTCCTAAATATAAGGAAAGCCAGTAATAAATATTGATGCCCGAAATGATTAGGTTTCAGCATGAACAAGTAGTCTAAAGAAACTTCCGGCTATAAATAATATCAAGAGCTTCTTCAAGATATTGTGATCAGATGAATGAGTTGAATACTGATACTGATTGAATATTAACAATAAGTGTACTGGATAAAGACTAAAATCTGAGAACTTAGCAATTTCATAGCCAATAACTCTTCAGACTGAAAATGTTGTTTGCATAGTGAAAGAGGATAACCCCTTCACTAATGTAATTCAACAACAATATTTTTGCACTGAAATCTTAGTGGGAAATGTATTATAAATGCATCTTGTGGCTAATTTGTCAGTAAGGACACAGTCCCATCAATTTGCAGGCATGTCAGCAGCACACGGAAAAGATTATTATGAAATTATAAAAAAAACACTTGAGGAAACATGATTTCATGTCACATGCAAGGACATGGAAAAGAGAGAATGGTAAACATGTTTTCCATGTCAATTTCCAAATATGCGATGTTGTACATGGACTCTGTAACAGATATTACATAGACACGAAAGGAAAACAGTGATATTGTTTAGCAATTCCGCTTGTGCGGAGAGGAGAGAAGGGGAAAATCAATTCTTACTTTGGAATTGTCGCTGTTGAAGAATTTAATGACAAAAGGGTGGTTGGCGGGATCCTTGTTAAAAGTTGTGACAATAGGCACACTACCAACTTCAATGAAGTTTTCTAATGCTTCCACATTAAAATCCTGCACAAAAGGGGGAAAACATAATGGATCCACTACTTAGACTATGAATCAAAAGAGAAGAATCACGTCCCCAGTATATAGACACATCTGCTTGCTGTAGATGCCAATACATGTTTTTTTGTAGAAATTTGCAAAGCATATGTATCTGCCAATTTGTAAACAGGAATGGAGTATTGAAACAGGTATGTTAGTAGTACCTGAGAATCAACAGAAAGTTCATCAAAGGGCTTGAGTAATCTAACTACGGGTCCCTTAACAGATGAATCCCCGTGAGGAAGGAGCTTAGCATCCGATAAATGGATGAACTCATATTCAGAACGCAATTTATCTGCAACTGACATGAAGTTCTCAAACTCCTGACCAGAAAATTCAGGGAAAATCCCCACCTACAATAACAGTTAACAGGATTTGAGAGCTTGCAACGAGCTATTGAGAAAATCAGAGAAAAAATACTGAGAAAGGAAGGAAGCACAAATTGAGAACTTACAATAATAACTTTCTTATCATTGATGAGGTTTGCAACATCATCCGAGGATTTGACCTCAGCAGAAGCAGGACCAACTTGCTTCTTCAAGTATTCAACTATGCCATCAGCATCCCTAGAACCTTTGTACTCTTGGATATTCTTTCCCTCATCCCCCAAAAACACAATCAAGCGATCACGACCCCAAATCAAACATCAAAGAATAAGAAATTACCAAGGAGCGTAGAATTCGACGACGACGAAGGGATGCTTAGCGATCGCCTCGTCGAAGTTCGACGCGTCGAGCGTGAGAACCGACGAATCCTCCTGCTTAGCTTCGGTCCCCTCCTCCACCCTAACTGAAGAAACCGAAGAAAAAACGAATAAAGCGAGAAAAATCGAAGAGATCCAAACCCTAGATTTGACCGCCATTAGAGCGGGGTAGAGCGAGCGAGAGGGTTTTTTAGCTCTTCGTGAAAATAAATGGGGGGAATTTTCCCTCCTTTGTACGAGTGGGGAAATTTTCGGGGGGAGGGGGTGGGGGGTTGGCGACGCTGATAAACAAAGAAGCGTCGTAAAAAATGTAAGCTTTAGCGACGCCGAGGAAGAACGTTGGGAAAAGAACACTTTTAGCGACGTTAGCTTAATATGTCGCGATAAATGCATACTATTAGCGACGCTAATACTAAAACGTCGCTAAAAAACTATACTTTTGCCGACGAAAATGAAAAAACGTCGGGAAATCCATAACTTTTACCGACGTTAAGTTAAAACGTCGCTAAAAATATACACTTTTAGCGACGCTAATTATAAACGTCGGGAAATATATATTTTTTGCCGACGCTAGCTAAAAGCGTCGGGAAAAACATAATTTTTGGCGACGTTTTTAACCATGCGTCGGGAATAAGCGTCGGGAAAAGTGCAATTTGTTGTAGTGTAAGTTCAAAATACATTCGATCCAGTTTATTGTGTTGATTAAGTATATGATGAGATGGTATGATCAATGGATTAATAATCCTGTTGGAGGTCATTTACATGAGCTAGGATAAGTAACATTGAATATTTGTGTGAAACAAAACAGCAACTTCCTGAACATAAATGTTCTTTACATTTTCACACCCACTAGTGTGTATATATCCATGTTGGTATGATCAATGGATTAATAATCCTGTTGGAGGTCATTTACATGAGCTAGGATAAGTAACATTGAATATTTGTGTGAAACAAAACAGCAACTTCCTGAACATAAATGTTCTTTATATTTTCACACCCACTAGTGTGTACAATGTTACATTAAACGCTAGGCGCTTCTAAGCGTCGGACTTGGCGCCTAACGCTTAGTCGCCTAGGCAGGCGCCTAAGCGGTTTCTGGGCGTTTTTTTCTTTCTCATTTAAGTGGTGATCAATGAGGTCTTGCTGAAGGTCGAAGGAGGTAGTGGAGATGTTCATATTTGGAGGTTAATGGAGTTTGGAGGACGTGTAGGCTACGACACATAAAATCACAATCAAGGCCTACAGGGTGTAATCTACGTAAGCAGACAATGCTCCCTAAACGCTCGTAAAATCTAGGTGGGCAGCCTAAATACCGCCTAGGCGCTAGGCGCTAGTTAGGCGGCCTAGGTACCGCCTAGGTCTAGGCGTACGCCTAAGCGGACTAGGCGGAGGTTTTTTAAAACAGTGAGTGTGTATATATCCATGTTCCTCTGTGTGTGCGCGCGCATGCACGTGTGGTTTTCCAGCATTCTAATTGATGGTTGTGTGTTTTAAATGCTAAGCACTTTCAGTGGCTGCAATGCAAGTGTACACATTGAAATCTACTAAATATAAACCTGATAGCAAGTGATTTTTGGGAACGCAGTTCTACGAACAGACTGTTTGAGGTAACAGTTCCCATGATTGTTATCCCTGGCAAATGTAAAGGCAGATAGCAAGAATTTTATATGACAAATCTTGTATGTGTCCGATAAGGTAAATATCATTGACATCAAGCTAAACACTTATTACTACAGTCTAAGCTCAGACACGATAATTTCAATTACTTTCACAAAAATACATCAGTTAGAACCTGCTGTTTTCAAAGATGTGATCTCAACACCAAAAACCTTGATGACAATGCTAAAATCAGAGATAATAAGAAATCTAACATGGAACAAAAACTACAATGCGGTGAACGGAGATATCGAAAAAGAAAATGAGGCATGAACAAGGGAACAGAATCAACAGATGCAGCAGCAATAGAGGACTTCATGTGTGCTATTGATGCCACTCCCACTAATGACAGCAACTAAATGACATGACACCATACTATGAAAAGATGTGAGTGAGCCTGACCTCCCTGCCATTATTGAGCTTGGGGAGCTTTCTTTGGATACCAAGGGCATGCTGAGAGAATAAATCATGAGGATGAATATATTTTTGGTGGGTCAAGCTTATCTTGTTCCCTACTTATTGTAGCATTTGGCATAGGATGACACACATGATTATTACTTGGGCACCATGACAAAGAAGTTGCTTCAATCCCTTTCGTTATAAAACTACAAATCTATAACTCCAACTGAAAACTAATAATAGTTGAGCGATAATGATCTCAATGACCATGTTCATGCATATAACTTCAATTTTTGCATCACAATTCACAATATATAAGTTTATCTATTTAAAAAAACACATGTATAGTTAACAGCTAGTTACCTTCAAGAAAGACAATATTTATCTTCATAATTATGCACAAAAAGAATTATGCCGTGCCCTTTTAACTAATGCTAATTATCTCACAGACCACTTTAATCGTATGTGAATATCAACAACACGTTTATTTAAGTCCAGCAATCAAACACACAAATGTTCAGACAACAATACATATAAGTCCAGAGGTTTAAAATATAATTTCTATACAAGATTCAATAATGTCCAAACACATTGCAACCTGACTAATTCCAGATCAAGTTCTACTATATATTTGCACATAAATGAGCTACAATTGAACAAAATACAAGGAGAAGATTCCAGATCAAGTTCTACTATATATTTGCACATAAATGAGCTACAATTGAACAAAATACAAGGAGAAGTAAGCATAATGGATCAGTCAGCTAGTACCAAGGGCAAAGTCTAAACAATTTAGACAAAATTAATAAATGACTATTTATTCAACATACCTTTATGTAATCTTCCCAAACTTTTGGCTCCGCATCCATCATCCTCGTCACTCGATTAATTGCAAATCCACTAGAAGAATTCTGCATGTCTTGAAATGCCCCCATATCTTTTTTCAGTGTCTTCAATTGGTTTTTAATATGATCCACTTCAACCTTTATTCCACATTTAGCGTACAACTCCGCACATGTTGCTTGATAAGCATGATATGAGAAACTTCGATCGGGCTTTTCCCTTTGTGCACTTGTTCTCTCAATGTTTTAGTTAAGCAAATATCCATCTTCTCTGTCTATACAATATTTTCCTTTGAACTTGATTGACTTCCAAGTTGTGAATCCATCTGAGCTGCCTATTTGTTAATATGCATCATTACTTAAAAGATTAGAATTTGATCAACTAGATACAAAGTATGGAGAGAATACCCATTTAAATGCAACTGAACAAAATATAGTGAAAACACAAGAGCAAATAAAGCACATTTAATTTTTATTTGAAGAATGAAAATATTTCTAATAATCTCTCCACATATCATCGGCTATTTGTTGCCTTAGAATCTCTCTTCGTCTATACTCTTCGTTATCATTTACAGGAGCTTCTTCAACATCTATCATCTCGTTCAAAACTTCCTAATCAACTTGTTCAAGAAGTCCCTTGTCAGGATCAACACCCATTAAAAATTATGTAGGATAGTACATGCATAAATGATATCTTTTTGTGTTTCAGTTGGGTAATGAGGTTCTGTTCCACTACCCAAGATTGGAAACCGCTTCTTCAAGACTCCAAAAGCACGCTCAATTGCATTTCGTAGTGAAGAGTGACGATGGTTATACACTTCACGAGGACTTTCAGGTTGTCTTGTTGAATATTCCTTGAGGTGATAACGCGTGCTCCTAAATGGTGTAAGGAATCCCGACTTCAGCATAAAACCACCATCAACCAAATAATATTTTTCTAAAATTGAACAAAATTTTAACAGTTAAAATTTGTTTATATAAACAAGGTCTTATCTGATCTTGAAAATGATTGGACATAAGAGTTGTCACCTTGAGGAACAAATATTTTATCTTGTCGTATTAATGCATTGTTCAACACCCGCAAATCTGATGCAGACCCTTCCCAACCAGCTAGAACATATGTGAATTTCAAGTCAAAGGTGAAAACGGCAAGCACATTTTGAGTTGGAAATTCTTTTCGGCCTCGATACCTTCTTGTATCTTCTTTTGCCACTTCGGCCTCGATACCTTCTTGTATCTTCTTTTGCCACTTTCACTCGAAAATGAGATCCATCAATTGCGCCAATACAATTCTATAATAGATTAACAACCACTTTCACTCGAAAATGAGATCCATCAATTGCGCCAATACAATTCTATAATAGATTAACAAAGTGATTTAGCAACTTGACTATTATTATTATAATGTAATATTTATTACAAAAATTTTATATTTTACCTTGAAATAAGGCCAAAATCTATGATTTGACTGAATTTCTAGTGGAACTTCGAAGCCATCTGGTTGTTTAATAAATTGATCCTCAAGAGTAATGCCTCTAATAATTTGTGAAAGTGTCGGTTAACAGTCTCACCCGAATGCATAAAATAGAACTTCACTACTCAGTTCTTCTAGTTATGAGAAAGAATTTGAGGGAACTTAGCAACTTGTTCCTCTACAAAACTGCATCTATCATCATAAAGACGTCCCGTCTCCCTAAGCAACTGACACAGTCTAGCAAAAGCATTAACTCTCATACGTAGTTGATCACGATAATCATCACTTTGTTGAGTAAGTTGCTCCATAAGTTCTTATGTTCATCTTTTTGAGCTAAGATTGATCTATCTATATACTCCACTTTTGGATATTAGTTGTCATAATAGCACCTGAATATGCAGCCACAATCCTTGCTAAACATTTTATTTTTTTTCCTTTGTATAACCCATTCATCATCTTCTTTTGTCTACAAATTCAAACACTTTCTATAGTGAGCACGTCCCAATCATAACCAACAACCCTCCCAATTCAACAAGCCATGTATATTAGAAGAAGCATTAGTAGAACCTCTTGCAGTCAGTTGGAACCCTATTTCAAGTAGATATTTTGTGTGTAGATATTTTGTGTGCAAGCATATATCAGGAAGGATTTGGAGACTGGTTTACACAAGTTCATTTTGCCAGGCCAAGCTCAATCTATAGCTGTGAACAATAGTCAAGACATGTATGAACAACTAATATATAATAATAGTCTTATCAAATAAAAATGGTGGAAGTTAAAGAAAGTAATTAATGGAATCAAGTATTATGGCTTGAAGATATTACAGTTCATATGTTTTCTGAAAATCTTGCTCCGGTTGCTTGAAAAAAAAAATACAGTTCATACATGTCTTATCAAATAAAGATACTAAGTAGTTGACATTTATATAGTTATCAAATTCCTTGATCAGTCAAATACAAATACAAATACATCACCAGATTCTATATTGCATTGTAACTCGACACAATGTTTCTCACCCTAGCTATGCAAACAATACAAAATTTACCCGTGATAACAAAAACCAACTGATTGAGTAAGCACCGGTTCCAATGGGTAAACCTAACTACCAAATTCATCGATTGTAATCAAAGGCTCAAAATCCTTATTTCGAAATCCTTATTTCTCCGAGATGATCACATATGCCGCAAGCAAGTCAATTGCCGCCTCCGGGTTATAATTCTTTGAGGACCACTCTTTTACAACGTAAGAAGGCTCACGTAGAGAGGTTGTTGGAGCCCATCAGGGGTACATGGAAGCAGAATGGGGGCTCTATTTGTAGTGATGGCTGGGCAGATGCACAAAGGAGGCCACTGATAAATTTCATTGCGGTCTCAAACAACGGGCCAATGTTCTTGCACTGCGTGAATGCCCAGGGAGAGCAGAAGAATAAATATTTCATTACAGAGAAGCTTAAAGCTTGCATTAGAGAGGTGGGGCCTCAAAATGTGATACAAATCATTACTGATAATGCTTCGACATGCAAGGCCGCAGGGGCAATTGTGGAGTGCAAATTTCCACACATCTTCCGGACTCCATGTGTTGTTCACACCCTCAATCTTGCCCTTAAGAATATTTGTACTGCGAAAATTACAGAGGCTAATGCAATTCCTTATGCAGAGGTATATGATGATGCTTTGATGATTAAGAACTTCATCATGAATCACTCAATGAGGCTGGCTATGTTCAATGAGTATTCGAAGATGAAGCTTCTTTCAATTGCTGATACTCGATTTGCTTCATGGATCATCATGCTAAAGAGGTTCACGATGATCAAGAGAAGCCTCCAAGATATGATTCTTAGCGACCGTTGGAGCTCGTACAGAGATGATGATGTGGGAAAAGCACAGTTTGTTAAGGAGAAAATGCTTGATGATTTGTTGTGGAATAGGGTGGATTATATTATTGCTTTCACTGCTCCTATATATGATATGATTCGGCTCACCGATACCAACAAGCCCAGTCTTCATTTGGTATATGATATGTAGGATACAATGATTGAGAAGGTGAAGGTTGTTATTTATAGACATGAGAGCAAAAGAGAAAATGATCCCTCCTCATTTTATGATGTCGTACACAAGATCTTGGAGGATAGATGGAATAAGAGCAACACGCCACTTCAGTGCTTGGCGCACTCTTTGAATCCAAGGTAATAATTTAGATTATGTTATCAATTCATTATTTTTGATGTGAGTATTTTTATTAATAATGTCTAATTCAATGTTAAACTTTAATAGATATTATCACGAGACATGGCTCAATAAGAATATCCATCGGCAAGCACCCCATCAGGATGAGGAGATCTCTTCCGAAAGGTCCAAGTGTTTGAGGAGATATTATCGTAATGCCGATGAACGGAGGACAGTTAACTTGGAATTTGCTAGATTCTCGACTGCTCTTGACACTTTTAGGGATCCAGATTCTCTTACCGATAGAGGATTGATGGATTCAAAATCATGATGGGCGCTCTATGGATCCTCAACTCCAAATCTTCAAGCGTTGGCCTTAAAGCTTCTAGGCCAACCCTGCTCATCCTCTTGTTGCGAAAGGAATTGGAGTACATACTCATTCATTCACTCTTTGAAGAGGAACAAGATGACACCGTTAAGGGCAGAAGATCTTGTGTATGTGCATAGCAATCTTCGTTTGCTTTATCGATCATCCCAAGAATATCAAGGAGAATCGCAGCTGTGAGATATTGGTGGAGATGCATTCGACTCATTTCAGGGTGCCGGTATTCTTGATGTTGCCACCTTATCTCTTGATGAACCCACCATGGAGGCTGTATTGTTTGCTGATGATGAAGGCAATGAAGAAGTCATCGAACTAGCTTTCACTTCATCTTGATGTATTTTTTGTTTACAAACTTGTTATTTTATGATAGAATGAGTATGTACTCCAATTCCTTTTTGTTTACAAACTTGTTATTTTGTGATAGAATGAGTATGTACTCCAATTCCTTTTTGTTTAAAACTTGTTATTTTGTGATAGAATGAGTATGTACTCCAATTCCTTTTTGTTTACAAATTTGTTATTTTGTGATACATTCATAATTTAGATTGTTAGTTGAATTTTATATAATTTTCTATACATAATAATAATTTGAAAAAAAAATTCCTCGCCATATTCCCGTATCCTATTTTTTTGGATTTTGCCGTATCCTGTATCTGTGTCCGTGTCGTATCCGTGTCTCGTATCCGTATCCGTGCATCATAGCACGTATATGCATATGTATATAGGCATATATATCACATAGCTAACCCATACGATAACACTCATCTAGCGCATATACACTATGCTAATGTGCCCTACAAAGCTTCTAACATCGAAACTTAGGTTCTGATACCATCTTACTGTCACGCCCAGATAGCGCAGTGAAAATTCATAAACACGGGTTACGCAACAGCGACCCATGCACAAGACAAGTCTTATGCATGAGTCAAGCCTGGTACTTCATATCACATAGTTTATCACAAAATATTTATAAACCTGCTGATGATAGAAGTTCAGAGTAACTATATATGTATATAATCAGTACTTATAACCCACAAGCTCACCGTTATAAGCATTTTACAAAATAAAGCACACTGTTGACTGTATGTGACGTCAAAAAAAGAGGCTCTTCATATAACGCCTTTTAGCCAAAAGTTCCAACCAAAAGTTCGGATAATATAAAGCTACACCGAATCTGAAAAAAATAAAAACGTCGAGGTGAGCTAGAGCTCAGTGAGAACATTTCCCACTAGAGTTCCTAGATAGCTAACAAAATAATAATAAGAATAGTTCCCAGAAATAATAAATTATAAGTTTTGCATCAGAAATTCAAAAATAGCAAAATACGATCCAAATATCATAATATTGTCGTCTTTAAGAAAGAATGCAACAATTATATTTTCTTTCTTATGTGCAACTGAATATACTGTGACATTTTCTAGAATCAAACCCTTTTTAAATCAAGGTAAACATTAAGAAAGAAAAGAACTATTAATTTGTACAAAACCAGAGGATTATTATTTTCTCAATTTCAGTCAATTGTCAGAATCTTAATTCTCGATGAGTTATTCATGAATGTAAAAATCACCTCATAGGTCACACTAAGGCTACGAATTATAGCCCAATAACATGAGAATGTGTAAAACGCATCACATAACAGATAATTTTTGGGAATCAAATGCACCTAACACTATCATAAGTTACTGGCCAAATACAGAGGGGCCAGAACAAACTTCAGAAGGGCTAATACAAAATGACCAATATAGAAGGGCCAAATAAAGGTGCATTCACCATATGACAGGCAGAATCACTCCATAGTGGACTTTTTGAGGGTTTGAAAACATCGAGAATCACTTATCAAATGAGTAATATCTTGTGTATCAGAATTTACAGAAATTTTTAAATGAAGTGGATAAGGTAAAACTCCTCATCCCAGTTAAAACAGTTTACAGATTTTTCACTTTTCTTTATTTTTATCGGATACTAAATCACAGAAAATCTTTAAATCCGTTAAACTGTTGAAATACGTTCAAAATATTTCATCAAAAACTTTCAGATAAAGCAATACCCACAATTATTTGAAACTGCATGAGAGCCAAATTCACTTTTTATATTTTACATAAAATCAAATTTGCTTTTCATATCTTGTACGAGGCTAACATCATATTATAGGATAAACCACAACAGAAATAGATGAAATCACATTTAACTTTCATATACACGAAAAATAATAGACTATTTATTTTTCGAGCATAAGATTATTCAAACATAGTACTATGTACTCATGCAATTATATATCGTAAAAATACTAGTGAGAAATGAACTCACCTCTAGTGGACACGACTTCCCCAAAATATTACTCCCTTGGATATCAACCAGAACATATAATATAAGATATAAGACTAATTATTAATTCAAGAAAAACATATATTACAGGTAATTAATTCATTCATCTAGAGCCAACTAAATTCAAATATAATTAATAATAATTAAAATCTATAAATAGGTTCCTTGTAGGTTTCTTTTCTAATCTTAACAATTTACCCAGCTTAATCACTAACTTAGAATTTTGTGGGTCTGGTTGCAGTTTACTAAACAACAGGGTCCTCATGAATATTTTCATTCCTCTTTATCTTTTGGACCATACACAAACTAATAATCTTTCAGGGTCTCAAACAATTTGGTTATTTAATTAATTTTGTCCTATTTTTCTCTCATCTATCCTTTCTTCTTCCCGTTTCCTCCTCATTTTCATTTCATTTTTTTCTCGGTTCTCTCTTTTTCGCGGCCAGTCGGCGCGCTTGCCAGGTTGTTCGTTGAAGCGGCCTCCCGAGGCCGACCTCGCCATCGTTAGGGGTCGAGACAGCCAACTCGGCCGGACGGCCAAGTACGTATTAAAGAAAAATCGTACCTTGCTATGAGTTGTTGGATTAACTACTCACCTTCTCCCCTCTCTTCCGTATTTTCTTCTCAATTACGCCTCACTGTTTATTATAGTAGCATGGGTTCAAGTTGGATGAGAATCGGAGCTTGAGAGGAGTGTGCAAGGATACAGTTTTAGATTTTTTTTTCTTCTCTTTTTTTCCTATCTTTTATACCCATGTTAAGGCGGTGCCAACCCTTGCTCAAATGGCAAGAGGCCACCGGTTCTCTGATGTGGCGATAGGGAGATTAGGGAATGAAAAACTTTTGCACAACACCCACCCCCCACAAACTTTTTGATTTGCATATATTATTTTATCTCAAGAGAAGGGAAATTTATTATTTGTTAAGGGATACTACACCTTCCTTCCTCTACCGCACGAATAGGGGGGCTCTCCTTGTTTTTCTCCTTCCCTCTCCCACTCTACCCTCCTAAGAAAACTCCCAACCAAGGTTAAAATTATGTTTCTCTTCCTCTTCCCCTCCCTACCCTCCATCCAAACTGGCCATTAATGAATTTCAGATTGGTGGTGCTGAGACTAGCAACCTTGACGAAGGTTTTTGAGGTTTCATGGTTGGCTTTACAGACGCGCACAGAGTAACAACATATTAATACAATCCAACAAGTATTCCACCTATACAAGTGGACTTAAACATGATTTTAAGATTTGTCTCTTTAAGCGTACTAATATTGGGAAATTTTAGTTATGTAGGTGCAAAATTAGTTACTGTATCCACAGGCATTTTTTCATAGTGAAGATTCTGAATAAATCTCCATACATAATGTCATAACTCATGAACCATACTCGATTTAAGTTGCTTTTGGCAACAAAGCCATAAGTATTAGAGCAGTTTTGACTAAGCTCGAGTGTTGAACTAGTGGAACAAGTTTCCAAATTTAGGATCCGACATGCAAGATAAGAACATGAATCTTAAGCTAGAATAAGGTCCCAAATAAGGATCTAAAATGCAAGACAACAGCACCAATCTGACACTAATTCGAAAAACACCATTTCACACTAGCAGAAAATTTGTCTATTGCAAATAGAAATATAACATAAGTAGGATTATACTTAAAAATGAACTTCATTTTAGTAGTCAAATAAAAATAAATGTGCATAATTATGCTCGAGAACATGTACCTACATATATATTAGTAAAAGGAACGGAAAGAAATCCTTGTTCATGGGTGCATCGGCAAACAGTCTCAAAATAACAAATGACATGTATTAAGTTAATACTATGCTCATTACGCCAGTAAAAAGAAATAGAATCCATCTGGGGACTTGGTTCGCCTTTTAAGAGAAGAACATAAGGAGATCTTTTAATTATCTTCTTTCCGGGCCCTACTTTCAGAGCGTATTAAACATAAAAGCAAGCATAAAATGTTCAAAAAGAATTTATTACACTTACCGAAAGGATAATCCGGAGAAGGATTTTCAAGCATAACAGCATCTGTTAATTTTTTTAAAATGGCAAGCTTTTATGCGATAACTTTTCGTATCAGAAGGAAAGTGACAGAAGAAAATCATCAAAAATTCTCACCTGATATTTTTCCAACACCTCCCAATCCAGTGTAAGATATATATGGGCCCAGAAAGTAGTCGGGTTTCCCAACCCCGACTACTTTCTGACTTGGCGTAAATGGGCTTTGAATTGGTCGAGGTTCCCAACCCCGACCAATTGGTGCACTGGTTAAAACCAGCGGGGCTGGGCTCTGCTAATTGGTCGGGGTTGGGAACCCCGACCAATTCGAAATGGGACCATTACGAATTGGTCGGGGTTCCCAATCCCGACCAATTAGTTAAGGGTCTGGCCAGCGGATCAACTAAACAGTCGGGGTTGGCAACCCCGACTGTTTACGAAGACGATTAAAAAATAATCGACCCGCTTTCTCGCCAACGCGCTGACGTGGCGAGAAACCGGGTCGATTCCGGTAAATAAAATGGGCTACAGTCGATTTTGGTAATAAAAAGTGAAAATGTGGCTACAGTGAAAATTTGTTCTAGGATTATACTTAAAAATGAACTTCATTTTAGTAGTCAAATAAAAATAAATGTGCATAATTATGCTCGAGAACATGTACCTACATATATATTAGTAAAAAGACCGGAAAAATCCTTGTTCATGGGTGCATCGGCAAACAGTCTCAAAATAACAAATGACATGTATTAAGTTAATACTATGCTCATTACGCCAGTAAAAAGAAATAGAATCCATCTGGGGACTTAGTTCGCTTTCCGGGCCCTACTTTCAGAGCGTATTAAACATAAAAGCAAGCATAAAATGTTCAAAAGGAATTTCAGAACAGGTACTCGTATCCTCGTCTTTTCCTCCGGGGACTTAGTTCGCTGGGATGAGGGGAAGCCGGAGAAGGATTTTCAAGCATAAGCGCATCTGTTAATTTTTTTAAAATGGCAAGCTTTTATGCGGTAACTTTTTCGTATCAGAAGGAAAGTGACGGAAGAAAATCATCAAAAATTCTCACGTGATATTTTTCCAACACCTCCCAATCCAGTGTAAGATCCTGAGATCCCGGTACTCGTATCCTCGTCTTCATCGTCGTCGTACATCGTCGCCGTTGAGCCCTATATCTGAATCTTGACGAATTTCCCTCTCTATCGCGAGACAGCCGCCTACAATTGAAAGAGGCGGCGGCGGATCTGAATCTTGACGAATTTCCCTCTCTATCGCGAGACAGCCGCCTACAATTGAAAGAGGCGGCGGCGGCGGCGACTAGAGTTAGGGTTTTCGTTCGCGTTTCAGATCTAACCCAAAAATAGGGGAAATTTTACTTTTTGTTCTTCTATCGTCTGGATATAGGTGCCCAAAAATAGGAATTCATGGTACCAAGACAGGTAAAGGTAAATAAATTAATTGATTGTAGGGTTTTTGGTATTAGGCCCTTCAATCTTCAAAGGTCACAAATCTGTGCCATAAATCTTGACAATGCATATTAGTCCCTTAAATCTTGGAATTGCATATTAGTCCCTCCAATCCTACCGAGTCTTACGAAATCAACCTTATGCTAGTTTGGTAATGAAAAAACAAAATCATGATTGGGTTGACTACAAGCCAAACACTGTTAATTATCACATTACCCCCTCTTCTTAATAAAAAGATGTAAAAATCATCTCCTTTAATGTTTCAAAAAATGGAGAAGAAGATGATAGATTCGTTAAATGAGAAATTTTGAGTTATGGTATTTTTATGACCATTAGGGAAGAACTCAAGTGAATTTGATTTTTTTTTTAAAGAGGGTTTTTGGTTGAAAATATTATGAAATGAATTTAGAAAGTTTATAGAGGAGTAAAGCCCTAATTTTGCTTCTAATATTTAGATTTGACAGAATATTCTACTCAAATAATTATAATTAATTATAGGGATGATTTCGCATGACGTTATGTGATTTGAGGGACTAACATGGAATTCCAAGATTTGAGAGGCTAATATGAAATTATTGAAGTTTTGAGGGATTAATATGCAAAAAGTCCGCGATTGCAATTTTGCGGCGTCACATTATTTTTATTACCAAAAGCACTTTTTCCCTCTCTATATACTTCATTGCTAAAAGTGGGTTTCAACCCATTTCCAAGCTCAAAACCTAGGAAAATGGATTCCAAAGAAAAGTCTCATTTTGGGTGAACATTTCTATAAATTTATGCCCCCACAAACAAAACAAACAAAAAGAAGAAGAAGAAGACATTCTATGAAATTATTAACACGACGGAACCAGACAAACTCTAAATTGAGAGGATGCTTATCTGTTTGGGATTGTTAGGCTAGGACAATTGCCCAATCATACATCCTATACTTTTGATTAAGACTAAAAAAAATTTGTGTTGGATATTTAGATAGACTTTTTGAAATTTTATGATTGAATTCTTCAACAAAATGCTGGAGTTTCGGACTACATTTATATTCATAGACTACGTGAATTAGGATAGTGACAGATTACTTATTGTGTAAATAGTAACTATGACCAATATAACTACAAATTTAGTTAGTAAATTAGATTGTGTAAATAGTAACTATGACCAATATAACTACAAATTTAGTTAGTAAATTAGAAGTTTAGTAAATTGTTAAATCAATAAAGAACTATGACCAATATAACTACAAATTTAGTTAGTAAATTAGAAGTTTAGTAAATTGTTAAATCAATAAATTAGAAGTTTATTCTAGTAAATCTTCCTTGAAGATGTTTCACTAGCCCTCCAAATTAAGACATCCTATAAACTCTAACGTGTCACGTGTCATGCACATGACCAAGAAAGAGAAGATATCCCCTAGCCATTGCAAGATCAAACCTTATACCCTTTTATTATTTACATTAATTTTAGCCATCACAATATCACACTTATATCCTTTTATTATTTACATGATTTTTTTAATGGTCGAGGGCATTTTCATCGTTCGCAAATTAGATGTTAGACCGAACATAATATAAGTGTGAGTGAAAATACTCAGAGGTTTAGTGGTAATAGAAGTTCTCACGGGGGTAGTGATCCTTCACATCATTAATTGTAGAGAAACTTTACAATTCATCAAGAAAATCTTCTCATTCAGTAGACCCATAAATAATATTAATTATTTAAATTATATTAAAAATATTTAATTATGAGGTCCACCGAGATAAACCAATTGTTTTGTTGATTTCCTAGAATCAAAGAAAAAGAAATAGGAAAAAAATCATCAAAAGTTAATTTATATATTTTTCCTTAAAAAACTATAAAACGAGTTTCTTTAAAAAATGAGTCATAACGTTAATAACATGTTGGCAATTCATCTCTTTTTTCGATTTAAGAAACCAAGCGAAAAAAAGAAAAAATAAATCGAAACTGGGTTTTGTATGATAGCTTTCCTTATTTATAGCCAACCAAACAATCGCCGCTCCTATGGCCATCTTTTGAACTTCCCACTTCCACTTGTCATCTTCTGACAAACTCAAAAGCTGCGAGACCTTTCATCTTCCTCGATTTTCCCTCCTCATTCACCATCTCTCACATCATTTCTCCATCCGGGAGAGGGGGGGAAAGCGGGGGAGGAAGAAGAAGAAAGAGAGAAATCATGGAGGTTGATGGGTCGGAGTTCTCAAGCTTTGTGGCAAGTCAAGAAGTCGAAGATCACAAGAGGGTCTCTGTCATACTCAGGGAAGTCGTGGCCAGGCTTGAAGAAGACTGCAGAAATCTCAGAAAAAAAGAGCAAAGTGATCGGGAAACCATAAAGCGTTTGTTGGAAGAAATGGAGAAGAAAGAAAGAAATTTCAGAGAGAAGCTCTTGGAGATTGAATGCAAGAAGAAGAAAGTGGAGAATGCGGTTCTCGAGTGGAAGAACGAGTATGCTGAGCTCGAAGCTCGGGTATCGAAGAAGCATGCAGGTGAGGATGTTGCAGAGTTTGAGAGGAAAGAGGTGGAGCTCAAAGAGAAGTTAGCGAAGCTTGCAGATGATAACAAGGATGTCGAGGCTCGGGCAGTGAGGGTTTCTGATGAAAACTGCACTCTCGAGGGAAAAGTGAATTCTCATCACAAGGAGAAAGAGAAGAAGCTTACAGCTGAGGTTGATGATGGGGAAGATGAGATTCCTCTTAGCAAATTATACAGAAAGAAGAGACTTGCAGAGGTGTATGAGGATGATAGGAAGGATTCCCACTGTTTAAAGGAATGTTCCGCTTCTCCGAAACTGATTGAACTTGGATGCAAAGGAGCACAAGGAATCAAAACAACCAAACCAGTAGAGGTCAGTGAAGCAAGTTCTGCCCGAATTTCCAGTTTCTGTATCCATAATGCATCCCGTATATTATCAGTTGGGAAAGCTATTGTGCTTCTTAAGTTGTTCTTCATTTTTTTTGTTGTTTTCTATTTATTCATTATCTATGCTTAGAATTTGCTTTACTTGCCAAATTTTTCGATGTTAATAGACATAAGACATTAGGCAAACAAGGGTGAAAAAGATAATAATAGAAATTGTGCGGTGTAAAATTATAACTGTTAACCTTCACCACTAACATTTACGTTTTGGAATGTGTAGTTATTAAGATTATTGTGAATATCTTTGTATTTTTAGGTAAATAGATCTTTGTGATTAGGAGGATCTTTAGGAGATTTTGGTGAATCAACTTATTGTTATTTTAGGTAAATAGATCTTTGTGATTAGGAGGATCTTTAGGAGATTTTGGTGAGTCAACCGATTGTAATATATATACTCTTTGATGGTGAATGAAAGCGGCAGAGATTGGAGGAGAATTTGTCATGGTATCAGAGCCTAAGTGATTCTAGGGCAAACTCAAATTCTTTTCAATACTACAGCCTCCACGAGAGCCCTCATGGCTGGCAAAGAGGGAGAAAAGAAAGGAGATGGTGACAAGAAGGTGGACATGACGTATCATCTTGGATCGAGTGATGGTCCGGGAAACATCATTACCCCGATTCAATTACGTGGTGAGAACTATGATGAATGGGCGAGGGCAGTTCGAACCTCGCTAAAGTCGAAGAGGAAATTTGGCTTTGTGGAAGGGAAGGTTCCGAAGCCAACAACAGAGGAGAAACTTGAGGATTGGATAGTTGTGCATTCGATGTTGGTGTCATGGCTGACCAATACCATTGAGCCATCCTTTCGGTCGACACTTGGAGAATATGATGATGCACAACTCCTGTGGAACAATCTCAAAAACAGGTTTTGTGTGGTGAGCGGCACTCGTATTTGCCAATTAAAGACGTCCTTGGGGGAGTGCAAGCAAGGAAAAACCGAGAGTGTGGCCATTTATTTTGGTCGTTTGTCAAAAATCTGGGACGAACTGACAACATATGTGAAGGTGCCGGTTTGTACGTGTTGAAGTTGCACGTGTAACATAGTCATGCAGGTAGAAAGAATGGGAGAAGTGGACTATCTGCATCACTTTCTTATCGGCCTCGATGGCGCATATGCTTCTATTCGAACACATCTGCTTGGACAAGAGCCATTGCCGACGCTTGATAGAGCATATCAACAAGTGATTCAAGCGGAAAGACTGCGTGGAGGAGAGTTGTCCTCATCCAAGGAAGAACGAGATAGTGTCATGGCCTTTGCAATTCAGCATGATGTGCGTGGTAAGTCTCGTGTTCTGGATAATAATGACAAGTTTTGCAAACATTGTAATAGAGAAGGCCACGACGAATCCTCTTGTTTTCAATTACACGGGTTCCCCGAATGGTGGGGGGATAGACCTCGCGGAGGAAGGGGACCAGGTCGTGGTGGAGGACGAACAAGTAGAGGAGGTGGGCGTGCTAGTTCTGGTCGTGGCAGAGGCCATGGTGCACCACCTGTCCGCGCAAATAAAATCGACGGGGCTGGGCCTGGCGGGTGCGACTGAAGCTGCGGGTCTTGCGGGTGTTTCAGCAACGCAACTGCAGCAACTTCTTGATCTTTTGAACTTAGCCAAAATAAAAGAGCGACTGTATGGTAAGAATAGTACTTTTAGTTGGATTATTGATTCAGGAGCATCGAACCATGTGACGTGTGACTTAACTACTTTGAGAAATGTGCGAAGAGTGAAAAACTGCCTGGTGGGATTGCCTGATGGAAACACGGCAGAAGCAAACTAAGAAGGAAGTGTCTGTTGTCAGGAGGATTACAGCTTGATCATGTGCTTTATGTCCCACAATTAACATGCAATTTAATTTCTGTGACTCAATTAATCGATGAATCAAATTGCGTTGTACAATTCACTAATAATATTTGTGTTATACAGGACCAACTAATGAGGAGGGTGATTGGAGCGGGTGAAAGATTGGATGGACTTTATTTTTTCCGTGGTGTTCCTCAAGTGAAAGTCTTAACAGTGGATGATAATTCGTCGTTCGAGTTATGGCATCAACGAATGGGGCATCCGTCGGAGAAAATAGTGAAGATGATTCCAACTATGAGTCCTTCTTGTCGGAGAAGTAATAAAGCTTGTGATGTATGTCCGTGTGCAAAGCAACCTAGGTCTAGTTTTCCCATCAGTACGAATAATGCTGGTAGGATTTTTGAACTTGTTCATTTGGATTTGTGGGGGCCTTACAAGACTCGTTCTTCATGTGGAGCTACCTATTTTTTAACAATAGTTGATGATTTCTCAAGAGGAGTTTGGGTATATTTACTATGCAATAAAATGGAAGTTGAATCTATGTTTCTTAATTTTGTTACTACGGTTGAACGACAATTTGAACAAGTGATAAAAAGGGTGAGAAGTGACAATGGGACTGAATTTAACTGTTTACATGATTATTTTCAAAATAATGGAATTATTTTTGAGACTTCTTGTGTTGGCACTCCACAACAAAATGGGAGAGTTGAGAGAAAACACCAACTTATATTAAATGTGGCCAGAGCATTAAGATTTCAAGGGAACTTACCAATCAAATTTTGGGGAGAATGTGTGTTGGCAGCATGTCACTTGATTAATAGAACACCCTCTACTTTACTTCAGTCTAAATCGCCATATGAAATGCTGTTTGGGAAAGGGCCTTCTTATGATGCTATTCGTGTATTTGGTTGCCTTTGCTATGCTCATAATCAACGACACAAAGGTGATAAATTTGCAAGTAGGAGTCGTAAGTGTATTTTTGTTGGCTATCCTTTTGGGAAGAAAGGTTAGAAGTTGTATGATTTAGAAACACATGAATACTTCGTATCGAGGGATGTGAAGTTCTTTGAGAAAGAATTTCCTTTTGCGACTACCAAACCACGGAATGTAGTGACTCCTATGCTAGCGAACAGTGAGGATGGGGCATGGAGTGAGGATGAGGGTGCTGATGAGTGTGCTGTGTGCGTTGAGGGGGCGTTGGAGGCAACGTCTACTCTCGAAGGGGGGTCTGGTGCTGCGGTGCAGCCCGTGCAGCAGCCCGCACAAGAGGATGTGTGTGTTGAGGGGCTAGACAATATGGTGGAGGAGCAAGGAGTGCAAGTTGACAGTGAGCTAGGACGAGGAAAATGAGCCAGAATTCCTTCTACACGGTATCGTGATTTTGTTACTCATATTATACGGAAAATAAGTCCATCTGAGAATTCATCAACTCCTTCATCTTCCTCAGGTATGCCCTATCCTATAACACATTTTGTGAATTGTGAACGTTTTTCTGTGAGACACAGGTATTTTCTTGCAGCCGTGACAATGGGACATGAGCCAAAGAATTTTAAAGAAGCAATGAAAGACTCGGGATGGCGAGGTGTGATGGGTAAGGAGATACGAGCTCTTGAAGACAATGAGACTTGGGTAATGGAGACTCTTCCACCTGGAAAGAAAGCACTAGGGAGCCAGTGGATATATAAAATAAAGTATAAGTCTGATGGCAGCATAGAGCGACTCAAAGCAAGACTTGTGATTCATGGTAATCATCAGGTGGAAGGAATTGACTATAACGAGACATTTGCTCCTGTGGCAAAAATGGTGACGGTTCGTATTTTTCTTGCAATTGCTGCTGTTAAAAATTGTGAAGTTCATCAGATGGATGTGCATAATGATTTTCTTCACGGTGACTTGAGTGAGGAGGTTTATATGAAAGTTCCTCCAGGCTTCAAGAATACAAATCCTAACTTGGTTTGCAGGTTGAGAAAATCCTTGTATGGTTTGAAACTAGCTCCCCGATGTTGGTTTGCAAAACTGTCAACAGCTTTGAAGAATTATGGATTTGTGCAATCTTATTCAGATTATTCATTATTTGGGTTGTGCAAGGGAAGAACTCGGATCAATGTGTTAGTTTATGTTGACGACTTAATTATTGCAGGGAATGATAAAGTTGCATTGACAACTTTTAAAAACTCCCTTGGCAGGTGCTTCCATATGAAGGATTTGGGAGTTTTGAAATATTTCTTAGGGCTAGAGGTAGCCCGCAATCCAGAAGGAATTTTTCTTTGCCAAAGAAAATACACACTCGAGATAATTTTTGAAACAGGTTTATTGGGAGCAAAACCTGCGGCATTTCCTATGGAACAAAATCACAACTTGGACCTGGCTAAGGGCGAATTACTTGCAGATCCGGCGCCGTATAGGCGTCTTGTAGGAAGATTGATTTACTTGTCTGTGACGAGACCTGATCTTGCATATTCGGTTCATATTTTGTCCCAATTTATGCAACAACCTCGTGAGGATCATTGGGAGGCGGCTCTCCGGGTTGTGAGATATTTGAAGAAGAGTCCGGGGTAAGGGATTTTGCTTCGGGCTGATAGTGATCTAAGTCTAGAAGGGTGGTGTGACTCAGATTGGGCTAGTTGTCCACTTATGCGGCGTTCCTTGACAGGTTGGTTCGTGTTACTTGAATGTTCTCCTGTGTCGTGGAAGACCAAGAAGCAACAAATAGTGTCTAGATCGTCTGCGGAGGCTGAATATAGATCAATGGCGGCAACAGTGTGTGAGTTAAAGTGGCTTAAACAACTTTTAGGTGACTTGGGTGTGCGCCATTCGAAGGGTATGAAGTTGTATTGTGATAGTCAGTCGGCATTGTACATTGCTCAAAATCCAGTTTTTCACGAAAGAACAAAGCATATAGAAGCTGACTGTCATTTTGTTCGAGATGCTGTGACTGAAGGGATGATTTGTCCGTCATATGTTTCCACTAGTGTTCAATTGGCAGACATCTTTACAAAAGCCTTGGGAAAAGCAAAATTTGAGTTTCTACTTCGCAAGTTGGGCGTTCGAGATCTTCACGCTCCCACTTGAGGGGGGGTATTAAGATTATTGTGAATATCTTTGTATTTTTAGGTAAATAGATCTTTGTGAT